CAGTTTAATGTTTGTGGTAGTAGAGAGGTGATAGGTATATGAAAGGATTTTTTTTAATCTTTATTTTTTTAAAGGAGGGTTTAATCAGGCATGATTATGCCACCCTCATAGGCATTCACAAAATATTTAGTTAGTTAGTTTTACTAACTTATACAGAGTCTGTGCTACATCTGATAATGGGTGCGCGAGGATACAGTTGCATTTTCCAATTTCAAATAGATTTATATTATTTAGAGAGGTAAATGATCTCCTCTCAACTTCGATATACACATACCACAATAACGTGGTATACATCTTCTGTGATACCACACTCCTCACAATTAGGGAATTTGTTTTACCCATAAGTTATGCAAAACTGTTTAGTGCAATGTGTCCAGATCGAAGTCTCATAGCAGTTTCAATATCTGACCTCCTCATGCGAGATCGACCAAACCATGGCGAACTGGTAAGATTGGGCTGTATTGTCTTGTACCAAAGTATATGAAAGGATAATGTTACGGAAATGAAAACTTTTTGGTGAATGTCCCGCTGGCTGAAATGTGTCTTTAATCATATTGTATACAGATTTGCAGTCGAACTTTACTGTCGCGTTGTATCACTAATTTCAACAATGTAAGGTTTAACTTTAAATAACCCGAATAGAGGCCATTTATGTTTACATTGCGCACCCTGCGTTGTAGGACGGCCGATTTAAAATATTATTTTTATTTTATTTTGGTTATACTTTTCTTACACATAGCAGTTACTATTATTAATTTTTGAGGTTTGTAATATAATTAGGTATATAAACAAACAGTATACTTTTTAAATGAATAATTATATAAATTTAGGAAATAACAGATTTCATGTGTAATATTGTCGTTTTCCTACGGAATTTGGGAAAAACTGATGGGTCACAAGTTCATAATATATACGCGTTTATGTAACGCTGTTCAACGGAACATTATAAAAAATAATAGGTCCCATGTTCATTCTTATACTATATGACACAAACGCATGTAGCACTGTTTTCAACGAAAAATCTTTAAAAAAGTTGTTGACTGTGCAATAATTATCATTTGACTCTAATAGAGTATTTTACACTCGTCTATTACATAAGTGACCTTATTAGTCTAGTCAGTACAAAAACAGAGTCTAAACGTACATATGTCCTTGTACTGCGGAGCACAAATCAGATAGAAAGTTCTATTCTGAATCTGAATATCTATAAGTCAGACGAAAAAAAATAAATATTATCTGAAAGCGTAGACAATAACTAAGACTTTCCGATGATAAAATCAAATTCGTTCTATATGACCTTAGAACGTAATTGTAACTTAGATACACCGGACCCACCGCCGGGGGTCCCGCCGGATAACACTACACCCACAGTTAGTGCCACAACAAACACACTAGTTCGCCCCACGCCTCCGAGCATGGCGAGACCAACACAACGCGTACACAAGGTATACCCGCGTTCCGGGGCGGTTCTCACCGCTCCCAGCCACCGATTAGCTAATTGCACAGTCGACGGCCATCGGAGTATCGGTCCGAACCGCGACCTCAATGGCCCTTAGAGATGACACACCATAGTTAAACGCACGCATGAGCACATGCGTGGCCCTACCCACAGCGGAGGGCCCAAACCCGTGGGTTCTGGCTAGCCCACCGATTCTGCGTCAGATGAAGCTTTAATAGTCTCGGGACTGAAAGCAAAAACATCAGTTAATACAAGATACAAGAGACGTTATTGTACGCACGGTGCGATTGGTTCTTTTAACAATTTTTGATTAAGTTTTCATATTTTCTGCAACAGAATGTTTATTGATGCATCATTGATCTTATATTTTTGGTGACTCTTATTTAATAATTAACTTTTACTTTCAACCATTTCTTCCCGTACTTCGTATTAACGGAACTTGTTCTAAAAATATTTTTAATTTACGTCTTTAATAATCTGTTACGTTACGTTTGGAAATCTCTGGAACTTAGAACAACTGTTACGCGTTAAGTAAATATAACCTAAAGTAAATGAAAACCCGAACGGTCTTGATAAGTCTATGTTTTCCTTTTTATTGCTATAAAATTTATCTATAGGAGTCGTGACGAAGACGAAATGGAATTTTCCGAGAGGAAATTCGTCAAAGTTGAATGCGTTGAGGTCGAATTTGGGAATAAAACTGTTAGATTTTAGTAAAAATTACTATTTATTATTGATTAATGAATTGATATATCAGATAATTAGTTATTATTTATTTAAAATAATTATTTATTTTATTTACACAAATACTATGCAACAATAATACACAATGACTTAGTGACGAAAGTCGTGGGTTCGATTTCCACAAAAAAGTACATATTTTTGTGTCCCACAGATAATTTTTCCACAGACAAGGGTTCTTGTTTCCCAAGAACGGTTGACGTCGTGTTGTACCGACACCGCCTGGTACGATAAGGGCAGGAGGATGATTATTTATGATCATGAACACAAATAATGTACACTGGAGGATCTTATCACCAATTATTATAGAACACTAGACCAGACATGATCAGGGGATGGACTGAGATATCTAACGTTCTTATATCGTTAATTATATTTACATATATATATGTTTAAAACTTGCTCCAAGATTTTGTGAAGGCCATCGTTCAGCATAGCCCAAATATATAAGTATCAATTTCGGTCAGATAATTTCTGCAGCTGAGTGAGAGAGTCTCAATATGCTTGGCTACCACTAAAGGCATAGTGACTGAAACGTGGCAATATTAAACATGTTTTTTTTAATTCCTTACAAGCAAAAATCACTTCTCGTCAGTTGTCACGTATATCCATTTTATGTATATGTGTGCAACTGGTATTCTTAAAACACATATCCCGTGTATTTGTGTTGCAGGAATACCCGTTGAAGATTAAAAGACTCGAAATCCTATTAATATGACGTCATCAAATTTGACTTGTTGTGATTAATTTAGAAAATAGGTCACTACTAAGCAATTTAAACGTAGGTCTCATTGAATATAAGTTTGCTGAAATTTGCGTAAATTCTCAACTATGGAGTTATATATCATGGTTATACGTTATTTAAAAATAAAGCAGTTTTTATTTTAAATTATTGTATATTAAGTTTTATGATAACATGTCTAAAACTAGTAATCACTACAACTAGCAGCGAGTTTGGATCAACGTGAAAGCAGTCTCAATATTTTTTCTTATTAAAATGTCCATTCACCTGAGTAAACCAAGTGATTTTCAAATTGGTTACAAATCAGTAAAAAAAAAGGTTTTATATATATTTATAGATTAAACAGACTTCAATTCATTAAATGATTATCAAGTAAAAGTAAAGTGAAACATACTTTATTGTAGACTAAGAGACATACAGTGCTTTTAATCAAAGATACATGGGTACCACCGGCGGTCTTATCGCTTAAACAGCGATCTATTCCAGGCAACCTTAGGGCAGAATATTCTTTAAAAGAAGAAAGCAGGTGGGATACGGTGTATTTAATGAATAATAAGAAAAGTAGATACATATAACATTATGTTATATTAGTTGTTCAGACTTCAGAATATTCGATAAATAGCAAACAAAGACAGACACAGTAAGCCACATTTTCTCTATTTTTAGAGATCGCGAGAGTGCAAGAGCAAATATAACAATGTAAATATAACAACATCAGATGTTGATTGTATCAAACAAAACGCCTCCCATGACGGAGCTGAAAGATTATGACGTACACCAAATGTGATATATAAGGGAAAATTTTCCGCAACGCAAAGCTATTGGCGTGGAATACGCTTCGGCAGGAGGCAGACGGCACACAGAATATATATTTACGATTTAGTTTTCCGATTTGCCCACTCGTCATTTTCAGATTGTTAGCAATTTGAACTGAACAGAAGGTAAGGCTGAACATGTTTTTAACTAGGGCGGGAAGAAAAACAAAAGAGTAGAGCAATGGCTAAAAAGTACGAAAAGAGAATGAATGATACGATATAAATAACAAATTTGCAATTTGTAAGTTTCAATTATCTACAAAAATAAACACACAGATAAATTCGAAATTTGTAATTAATATCCCAAGTTAAATATAGACTTTATTAAGACGAATACATTTCACAAGGAATAACAATATAACAGCGGAGTAATTAGATTGCTTGCTCTTTTTCTGCAGTCCGCAACTATTTGTCACAAACCAAGACAATCAAAGTTATCCAAAAAGTTATTAAACTGTTTATTTTTTGCATAAGCGCACTTCATAAATCTAAATATCAGAAATGGAATTAATCTACTGATAGTTTGATGGTGAACAAAATTATTACACGTCCAAGTCTAGGACAAGGTAGGACAGGTAGATGATTCTATATTATACATAAGCTATATTTATACAGCAATCGCATATTTGAGTAACGATTTAATAATTTATAATGTATGCTTTATAATTTTTTTTATAATCACTATATATAATTTATTATTATTATCGTTTATTTCAAGTTACTAAGACTCATATACATCCACATTTAAAATTACATTTTATCATTAAAATGTATGATTAGTCTATAATTTTTCGCTCGGTAGGCTAGAGCAAGTCAGCTGAAATGAAACAGGCTGGGCAAACTTGACCCTAATAAAAGCAGGCCTGCCTCGATTCGTTATATAGCTTTATGCAACAGCCTCGATTCTACTACTACTGTTTTAAAACCGTGACAATAAAACATACTTCATGTTGCTTATTCCTTATTTATCATTATTAATTATTTCTATAGTTTATTTACAGACGTGTGCTGTAATTTATTTAATTATCCTATTCGTTAACTTTAGTTTTAATAATCGAAAAGTCATATGTTTAAAGACTTAAAAGCCAATTTAGGCCAATCACTAACTTAATATTTCTTATAAAAGTATCAACATAGGCACAGCTAAATAATGTTGAAGTAAAGCCTAATAAATGGTCTGAATGAACAGAATGATTCTATTTAAATAACATATTTTGTTTCAGTTCGTTACATTCATTACAAAATGGGAGCTAAAGAAGTGAATCACAAAGCTTTCGACACGGAGAAACCAAAGTCTTTGCACGCGGGAACAATTGAAGATGCTTTAACAGCCACAGGTGACGGATTTCATTTGCAACCATGAATCAGACTTAAATATTGACTAGCCAGTTCGTAATAACCACATACATAACTCTTATCTCTCAAAGGTTATAAAACGCATATGATATGACTTAAATACAAATATTTAGGAAGATTTCAAAACAAAGTTACATAGGCTCACGGACTATATGGGGGCGCAAACAAAAAATTGAGATAACATCTTGTGAAACGTGATGTTATTAAGGTCACTGTTGTTTTGGTCCATTGTCAAGGTGCCCACTTGTTATCATTATTCGATAAATACTTTTGGCATTACTCTTGTCTGATTCTGTATATCAGTTAAATCTATAAAAACATTAAATAAATTAAGATGCATTAAAAGCCTAAACGGGAGTTAATATAAAGTAAAGACTTTTAGTTTCCAAATGTGCACCGTTAAGTATTTTGAGAATGCTGTCAGAATTTTATGACAATGTTACGATTTCATATTAAGGAATGGTACCTGACTTACCTTAGTGCTGCCGCTAAGAAAACAGTGTTTATAGTTGATATAAAATAATGATATATTATAGAATACATATTATTAGAAAGCTAACAACAATATCTATTTAGTTTCGATGCCGCTGTCTGCGGTGAATTATCTCTCAGGAGTTCTTCAACTATTTGCGAATACCGTGACGATATAAACACCTTGGACTTCTAACACCCTAAACGTTATAGAAAATGGAATATGTTTATTAAAAGAAATATAAACGACCTAAAATTAGCCCATGCAGTTTGTGTCCTTAAATATTCAAACTAACCAGTTTTTATGCTAGAAAAAAAACCACTAGCCAGCGTGCTCGTCAAACATTTGATCAACATTTCATTTGATCGAAATAATTTCAGGTTTTGGAAAGTATAATTTTGGGCTTCTGCTGATATGCAGTTGGACACTACAAGCGATGGGTATGGACCTCTTCGGCACCAGCTTCGTAGTGGCAGCGGCAGTTTGTGACCTGCAGCTTTCTATGCAACAGCGGGCACTGCTCACAGCAATGCCCCTTGTAGGTGAGTAGTCATTATGTATAACATTAAGACCATGTTCCCAAAAACTGAGCGAACGCAAAAACGTTTTGTCAATTAATTATTCTTGGAATTTCTTGTGAACCTACTCTTTCTCGCACATTCCGCGGCTCATTTGTAATCCAACCACGATAGCCACTTTTTTTCGAAATCCAGATAAGAAGTCTTTTTAAAGTTAATATTGGATCCAGCTTGAATGAAATTCTGGTTTATATGAGTTTAAATGATCTTACACGTGAGTAAACATAATCCAAAAAGTTTGGTGATCTTGTAGTTGAGGGTCTCCAAATCCTAAGGTAATGTTGCTTAACATGGTTTGTAAGGAAGAGACTGTTGATATATGTACAGTTTGATGATGGCGGGTGGTTGTAAAGCGGTTGTAAGTCAAGAAATGTTCACCTTTCTGCAGGTGTTGTCGCCGGTGCTCAGCTGTGGGGGTACATCTCCGATACTAAAGGAAGGAGACTCACTCTCGTGCTCTCTATGTCGATTGGGTTCGTGTTCGCGGCTTTGAGCAGTTTCTCCCCCGACTGGAAGACCATGGCTGTACTCAAGCTGATATCCTCAACTTTGTAAGTGGCCCGTTTGATACAGAGTTGAAATCGTATCGACTGACTATTTAAATTACAGTAACAAAATCTAGTCTCAACAACAAAAAGAGACGTTAAACGTTAAAGCGTTAAATTAAAAATTTTCATTAAAACTAAAGGAAAAGTTATTGACAATTCAAATATATCTGAACACAGCAGATAACAATTTCACAAACAATATCCAAATGAACACACAAAACGATTCTAGCTTGATTCTAACACATTTGAATTTTTACTAAATGTTGTTACAATAAATATCAGAATCCTAAGGCTGGGGCCCGCTAAAACAGGAACCAGTAGCTATTTATCCGGTGACCTTATGTTAAAAACATCCTCTGTCTTATAAAAACATCCTCCGAAACAAACAGCTCCGGACTAAAATAGCAGCTATTTATGTAATAAAATCAACATTCCCGAGGATACTAAAAATAGTTTCCACTCTGTTAGCAACGCTCAACGGGTGGCCACTTAAACAAATACAACCTCAGACAATATATAACTCCGTGATAAGAGTGTCGCCCTGCCGTTTCGTGTTTTTGACGTCATATAAACTCAAACAAAAGATTAACTTTACGCCGAAACGTGTCATCGCTGTTTTTCTGCTGCGAAGAATTTGTTTGATGACGGAATTTTCTTACAATTCGTAACGTCGAGTATTTTCCCAGAGACTAAATTGAAAAGTAAAACTGTTCAACAGTATTTTATTTTATAGAAATAAATTAAATTGAGAAAAATCTACTACTTATGTTTGGTAAAAAAGCGATTTATTGTTTTTTTTATTGTTTAATCCACAACTTACTCTTACTTATGTTTATACAAAAAAGGTTTAAAGTTATTAAAATTAAGAAAATTTAAATAATCTGTATTCGAATCAAAACAAAAATAAAAAACATTTCGGCTGCTGGCTTAGTATGTTATTTAGGATGGGGAATAAGCTAAACCTTCTCCCTTTTTCTCATCTATGTTCGGCTGGCACAATGTAGTCTTTTTAGTGGTTTGGGCTAGGTTTTCCTACGACCAGCCGCCTGACAGCACTCCTTGGGAAAAATCAGCCTGTGGGCCAAACACTTGTCTAGGAGAATCGAAGCCACGACTCCAGTGCCGACCTTATAGCTTAGCAACGCTTAATTAAATTAAAGATTGAGTCAATTATAGTATCTTTTAAAATAAAGAAGAGATAAGAACGTTTTGGAACGTTGTAACTTTCTCTATTGTGCACACGTGGGTGCTGAAAATGTCCATGGGCGGCGGTTATCACTTAACTTCGGATGAACCGCCAACTCGCTTGATATCTTCTAGCCCTAGGGGTTGCAAATGTCCACGGGCGGCGATTTTCACTTAACTTCGGATGAACCGCCGGCTCGCTTGCTACCTTCTCACATAAAAAAATCCTTTCCAGCACCTCAGCAAGCAACTCCGGAGCGTACACACTGCTCGGTGAGAGTTGTCCGGAGAGGGCGCGCGGGCGCTCCATGCTGCTTTGCACATGCTCTCTCATGTGCTCGCAGGCAGTCGTCGCTGGTAAGCCACTGCCAGTCGTAAATACTACTCGACGAAAGCTGTAGCTAATGAACTAATGTAACTATTAAAAGCATTAAACTAAAATCGTCAACTTTATCACAAAACATATGCATCGAACAGAAGTAACCACTATCGGCAACAATCTATCGGCAGTCATCAGAGCTTATAAACGGGCTTCTTTTTCTTAAATTTACTCATGCTCTATATTTGCCATTTTCTTACTCTCTTTCAATTCAATAACAAATTCAAAATTCAAAATATTTCTTATTCACATTGCGCATTCTTATAAAACGTCGAAATTTTAAATGGAAAAATAATACGTTTGTAAGTACCACCGGTTCGGAAAGCAGTTTCTGTGGAGAAGAAACCGGCAAGAAACTCAACAGTTGTTTACGATTAGTTTACAATATAATAGGACAGGTATAAGTCTTATTTTAGCCTACGTGAGTATCAACAGTATTAACCGCACACATTCGTCAAGATATTCCGCAATGGTATAATACGCCTTAGCCAATCAAGTCGTTCAAATCGTTCAATTTTTCGTTTAAATAGATCAAGTGGCTTCATAGAATTCCACTGAACATTATCGCTATATGACCATCAACTATATTAATCTTTTACATTTCTGATCATCGAATAGATTTAAACAAATCCGTCGTTTCTTACAGTGTTCGCTTACCCAATCCTTCCACTCGACTTCGTCTACTGGATAGACTTTCTGGGCATCGCGTACCGTCCGTGGCGGTTGCTAGCGTTGGTAATGTCCCTGCCCTGCGCCGCCACCGCTTGCCTGCTGCAACTCTTCCACGAGAGCCCCAAGTTCCTGGCCTCCAGAGGCCGAAGTGACGAAGCGCTCGAGGTGCTGAGAAAGATATACGCGGCCAATACCGGCAACAGCCCTCGCAACTTCCCGGTGAGTATTGTTAAGCATAACGTAGAATATAACCTGGCAGTAGAGGTCATGATTGAGCCGTCTCGCACAGGGATCAACCTCAGCCCCCCAGAAGAAGTGTGAACAGTAGAAGTATTTACGCTGTTTCTTTTTGTCAGGTGGGTTAGTTAGCCAGGTATCACTCCCGTTAGTTATTGGCGGTATATGTCTACAGGCAGTAATGCACTCAAAATAACGTAAACTGCTATGAGATATCCTCACGCTGCGAAAATTGAAAACTATTATATCTAATGTATCAGCATTTTTAAAAGACATTTTAGAGTTACCCTTCTGCTTTCTGCTGTTGTACGAATGGGCAGTCAGGGGGTCCAGGGAAGTACCACGGCCTCATAGAAGACTAGAGTGAAGTAGAAGTATTATACTCTCGCGTTTACAGTGGCGTTTACTGTGGCGAGTGAGGTAACCGGGGTGCTTTCGGGTGCTTAGCTACGCTCATTAGAGCGTCTAGGTGACTGAGAAGACGCATTTACTAATCCTGGCAGCAACGAACGTCTTTTTGAAACCTTATTTACTAAAAATATTTAAAAATTTCACCTCAAAAACAAAATCATCAAGTCCAATTACAGTTAACTAACGATAAGATTTTTATAACTTGAATTTAGTAAACTTGTTTAAAAGTGTATATAAAAAGGTTCTAACATTGCGGTGCAATTACAAATAAAGATAAATAAGTAATAATTATACTTCAGATAAATAAGCTGTTGGAGGGTGACGATGAACATTCGCCAGTTGGAGAGAGTTCGTTTGTGAAGGCACTCTGGGAACAGACCGTGGCTCTCTTCAGGCCGCCATTGCTTAAGGAAACGCTAAGGCTTTTCTATCTTGTCGCTGTTATTTATATGACGTAAGTAGCATCGAACTATTAAAATACTTCAGAAACATTTGAAAACGTTTGCGAATGCACGTGGCGGCACAGTGGAAGAACAGTCGATTCTATTCCTTCTATAAGACAACCCTTAAAGTAAAAATTTTAATTACTGAGCCGTACCGTTACCGTAAGCTTTAATGAAAAACAAATTGGGTAGACAAACACTTAATGTGCGTGTTTGCCATTAAGAAAACACGAAGAAACTTTATCGTTAAACGTAAAAAATTACATTACATATCTAAGAAACAATCAAACCATTTCAATAAAACTACTTCACGAATTACTGATAACTCTATAGAAGAAACTTTCAAGTAGAGAAGCATATCATATAGTCTCCATCACTTCTTATTTTGTAAAGATTGTAATTTTTATCTATTCTCACAGCGGAAGCGGTTTCATCTTGTGGCTGCCGTACATCATGAACAACCTCTTCTCCGTACTGGAGGTCGGCGGCGGCGCTGGAATGAACCTTTGTTCCGTCATACGCTCCTCCGCTAATAATGGCGTCGGCAATGATACGGTAAATTTTTACATCAGTAACTACAGGATTATTGGGACGCCTCCGAGTTTTCAAGACAAGAAAATACAATCTAATTGGAAAAAACACTACGTTGAAAGCAGCGATGAAGCGATTTTGTGCAAATAAGAAAAATCACTAATTTCTTTCCGTCGTATAAAAAAAGTTCTTATTCATTAAATAAGCGCAGGCTGAGAATTTTTTTTTAATATTCATTCAAGCTTGAGGCTACCAAGGTTTTGCAGTGCTTCAGCAATGTTTGCTGAAGCGAAAGTCAATGATTTTTTCGTTATATTGCGATATAGAAGCACCTCTGTTAACGCGCATGTTAACTAGTAACTCTCCTGATTGTCTTGGCAGCCAGACAGGATGGTTCAGTAGGGCATCGATATATGTAGATAGAAATATTGCATATAATACATACATAAATAGGACCCAATCAGACGGAAGCCCTTGGCAGGGGAGACTAAACGGCCGAGGGTTAGGTTATTATTATTAGGATGTAGGGGAAAGTCCATAAGACTTTCCCGTGTTTCTTCAGGTAAATGACATCAGTATATCTTAATACCCATGCTACCACGTAAGCTTTAATGAAAAACAAATTGGCTAGATTGTTTTATAAAAGAAGAAGAAGAAGAAGAATTGAAAACGTTTTCTTTTTTTATTTGAGTGGCAAGCGATCAGTTCACTCGTTGTCGATTTTTAAATCTACACCACGTGTGAAATCCAGATGGATTTTTCAACTTTTAAAAAAGAGGGCCTTGGTTACACCGCCCACTAGTCGAAAGTCTTCCGCAACACTGCCGCTTCACGTCGGAATTCGGCGCGGATTTAAAATTTCAACGCATGCATGTATTTCGCACAATGATATCATATACAAATACGAGGTAACTAAGACACTGGCCCACCGATACTGAGGCACTCAAATTACAGCAATTGGTATAATTAAATTGCAACTCTATAGACTGCTCTTTTCGTATCGTACATTCTATATCATCTGTCGCATTCACTTATGTAACATAACGTAAAGCGAAACAATTTCTAAACGCCGCGCAGTATGGACACGCGTCATCTATATCATCGATTATATATCTATATATCTATATCGTCGATACATCATCGATTTCGCAGATCACCCAGGAAATGTGCAACGACACCATTCAGGAGACGACCCTCCTATCGGCGATGATGTATGGAGCGCTCGCCAGCTCTTCGAACCTGATCCTGTCGCTGACCTGCGGGGGCAGGAAGAGGGTGGCCATGATGGGAATCCTCGCAATGTCCGCCGCAGCGGGCGTGATGCTCAACCTCGTCAGGGTGCCGATCGCCGGTGGCATTTTCTTCTTCTTCTTCTTGATGTGCGCGCTCGCTATGGGCATCCTCAGTGTCTACTTTGTTGAGCTCTATCCGACCCATTTAAGGTAAGATTGTATTAGATTGATACATTGACTTATTGCTCATCTTCAGTTATTCAAAGATGGAAAAGGTTTGTGCACCTTGGCTTAGATTTGGGCCTCCAATATCAAAGTATAATTAACTGTAGTAGTGCCACGCGACAGTCTTCGCTTTTGCACGAACGGTCAGATCTGTCCGGTGATATACCACGACCCCACAGAAGACCGGCGTTAAGTGGTTTTATACTTCTGCGCCTCGTCTGATGAGTGAGGTAGGCGGAACCCATTTTATTAAAAGGTGTCAACGCATCTGCTATCCTACGGGTGATGCAAATGTCTATGGACGGCGGTTTACACTTATCATCAGGTGAACCGCCAGTTGGCTTGCCACCGTCTCACATTAAAAATGCTCAATAACTGTCACGGATCACATTTGGAAATCTCGAATGAAAGCTAATAGTTTTCTTACACTGATTGGTGATAGACTCTACTCGCTTCCTTTCTATTATTAGAAAACATTTACTCTTATTAGAAAATCTGAAGTCTAACGTATGAAATTGTTTGCAGAGGGATGGCGTCTTGTCTATCCGTGATGCTAGGCAGATCGAGCGCCTTCTTAGGCGTTAACGCGATTGGTGCTCTGATATCGGCTAACTGCGAGGCCACCTTCTATGGATGGTCCGTTTTATTACTGAGTGAGTAGAAATAATCCAGTTTTATTTTAACGTGATGCGAGTATGTAGTACTGTTAAACTAGTACCTATCGAAAAAATGAACGCAACTTCTTTGTCTCTATAATATAACAGATGTTTTCGCTTTCGGACGGGAGACTATTAAAACTAAATGGCACGCCGAGCTCGTGGAACAACTAGTTTCCACCACCTTGATACGATCCACGTTCTAACCTAAACTTTGTTGTAGGTATAAAATCTAATGTTCATTTCGTTTTGCTTTTGTTAACAGCTGCGATCGCCTTCTCGTGGTTCCTGCCACGAGACAAAAGGCCAGGAAAATGAACGACGCGGGTAAGTGGCCAAGTTATGGAAAGTAAGATCCCAAGTTATGGAAAGTAAGATTAATTATTAACACTGCCTGAATTAATTTAAGGCAAGAATGATTGCTCAAAAAAGAAATTTCAATATTTCTGATGAATTTAAATTATGTACACGATTACGTGCCGAATAACCAGATTCAATTCAGCGCCCAAATAATTTAAGTGCTAGAGAAAAGAATTACTTGCAAGTTCAGTGCCATAGAAATCTCAGTATCATCAGATCCGCCACAAGGTATTGCTCGGACCAACTATTTGTGCTTCATACATCCTTCATACCCAACGAACTTCAAGGCTTTGGGCGAGTGTCTCTCATAACAGTACGTCTCCATAAGGGGTCAGAACTTAAGACAGAATTTACTCAGTTCGTTGAACAAATCCTAGATAAAGTCATAGGTTGACTATTATTTATACGCCTGCCAAATCAATAGTGTAGTGTATCAATACTAGAGTCAAGCAGCAACGTTAACTGTAGAATGGAAGTACTCATCACCTATCATCTGATCAGTGAGGTAAGTAATACCCACCATCAGATGGTTAATGTCGTGATATGAATAACCTATCTGTATGGCGCGTACATAAAACATAACGAACGCACTGTAATGTTATTTACTAATTTAATAATTTAATTACTGATTTGATACGTCAAACTATAAGTCTGAATTACGTGGATGGGAAAACGATCGATAATCCATTTGTTTTTACTGCGATCTTTGCTTATCATTATAATACTATCGCCGACCTACAAAATATATATAAATATTTTCGTGTACCTGAATTTCAGATATTTTGACAGTCGTTTAAGTAATTTTAGATTATGTATGTATATTTTAGATAATATTATTACTGAGACTGCTCATAGACTCAATAACGAATTTATAAATGGATACCGCCATCTTTATAATAAGACTATTTAATAGTTACAGATGTTAAGTACTTTATATTTTAGACTATTTGTAATTAAAATCGTAAGTTTTTAAATAGTTTCATCTAAGATAATGTGAGAAACAATGTATTTATTTTGTAAACTGTAAAGAAATATTTTTAAGTATTTTATTACAAAATAAAACCGTATTTCAAGAAATTTGTTTAATTTTAACGGCTTTAATTTTTTTCAAGGTCTCCTCTTCTTGTTGGTTATTTCGCACTTTACTTATGTTAATTACGTTCCCTTTGACCGAGTCAAAACTGTGACATCGGAGCTACCATTATTAAACAAAACGTTTCTTTCTACAACGCTAATTAAAATACATATTATTAAAAAACAGAAAATTGTTGTACTAAAACACAATGTCACTAAATGCGGTAAGGAACTAAATAAGGTAAGGAATGTGTTGTTGCTAATTAAAATAATCTCCTAGTATTTTCAAAGCCATATATTTTTATTAGTATTACTGATAACATTTTTACTGGCTAATTGCTAATATTATTGATATCCTAATCATAAGCCCAATTTTTTACCTCCTCTGACCCACTTTCTTATCATATTCGCAAAGCCCCGAAAGTATTACTTTCAGTATTCTCTTCTCATCGTGGCAAGGCCACGCAACAGTCTTCGCTGTTGCACGAATGGCAGGTCCGTCCGGCGAAGTAGCACGACCGCGCAGAAGATCGGCGTGAAGGGAAAGTGTTGCATTTCCCCGATTCCTCTGGTAAGTGAGGTAGCCGAGTTCCATTTTATTAAAAGGTGCCAGGTGTTGCAAATGTCCATGGGCGGCGGTTTACACTCAACATCAGATAAAACGACAGCTCGCTTGCCACGTTCTCACATTAAAATCAGTTCACTATTATTTATGGTGTCTGCACGTTCTCCGAAGTATTTAGGGTAAAAGTAAAGTAAAGTAACAGCCTATACATGTCCCACTGCTTGCATGGCAAAGGCCTCCTCGGTACAGGGGGCCGTAGAAGCACTACAATGCATATCAACAATTAGATAGTAATATAAAAGCACATCCGAGGCAACATACGGTTTAATAATAAATATCTGTTTCATGGTAAATAGAATAATTTTCGATTATCACAATAACACTCTTTAATATCGGACTTAGTTATCGATATTACTTAATCGATAAGCATTGATACACCGATATAAAAGGGTCCCAATTGTTCAAATAGGTTCGGAAGTTCGTATCGTAAGATAGGTTATCTTATTTACTGGTTTTCATTTAAAAAAAACTGTGAAGTAACAGCGTATATCTGTCCCACGGCTGGACAAAGACCTCCTCTATACAGAGGGTTTTATGGCATAGTCCACTACGCGATCCCACTGCGGACTGGCGGAATTCACATATCTTCGAAATATTTTCTAAATAGTGTCTTATATAGATTTCCTCACCATGATATCCTTCACCGCTAAGCACGTGACAAGTCAACAATTACCAAATTCATTTTTTTTAAAACGTTGCCCTTACTTTAGGATAACACTATCCTATGTTGCAAGGACGATTTATATAAATTTCACCCAGATGCGATCTGTGGGTCACACAAATAGTTGTCCCGTGTGGAACTCGAACCCACGACCCTCGATGCCGAAGCAAATACCTTGGCAACTGCGCCACGGAGTCATCATCATTGGTGCCAGCTCCGGATTTTAAACTCAGGTCGAAAACATTGAATTAAAGAGAGCATTAACACTGAGCTATCACGGCTTATTTGTTTTAATTAAGTCATAATGAAATATTTGTTTCATAATTTTTCGATACAGGATTTAGCGTTAAATAAGAAACTACACGTCGTGAAAGGAAGAAATAACATTTTATCAAAGCGATGCAACTTCAATTAATTAGTATTGTAAATAAATAATAATAATAAATATTTTGGGACGCATTTGTACAAAACGTCCTCTAGTCCCAAACTAAGCAATCTAGTACTATGGGTACTAGATAACCGATAAACATACATAGACATACTTTTCTTTTGTAAATAAATACATGTGATGAATATATAAACAGATTGACAGTAGAAAAACACTATGCACACAACAATTTTCTTCAGGAGGCAAGTGGTCTCATTATAATCATTACATGGCGTAGTAATCTATAAAGATAAATAAAACTGGAGTGTCTGTTTGTAATATTAAAATAACCACTTTTTAATAAATGCATATGGATGCATACACGGTACATATACCAAAATAACATTTTTTACAATTTTTGTCTGTCTGTCTGTCTGTTTGTTCCGGCTAATCTCTGAAACGGCCGGACCGATTTGGACGGGACTTTCACTGGCAGATAGCCGATGTAATAAGGAGTAACTTAGGTAAACTACTTTTATTTTATTTTAAATTCCACGCGGACGAAGTCGCGGGCACAGCTAGTAACTAATATATTAACTTTATCGGAAGATAAACACCATTAGGACTGTGTTTGCAATATTAAGTGAGGTGAATTTCGAAAGTAGGTATTTTTTTGAATAAACGCTAATTGTATTAAATTAAATAAAAGTGTAATTTAGCCGTGTTAAGTCTGTGTTCGGATGTTCGCTTCTAATTCAATAATCTCGGCCGTTGCACGAATGGGCAAGTCCGTCTGCTTAAATACCACGGGCTCACATAACACCGGCGTGAAGTGGAAGTGTGTATTCTTGTTGTTCTGCAACCTTATGGGTGTTTCATGTCCATGGGCGGCGGATATCACTTAACATCATGTGAACCGCTAGCTCACTTGCTAAATGATCAAGACGGCACTCAGAAATAGACTCCATAACATCGAGCGTTATACACCATCCATACTAATATTATAAATGCGAAAGTAACTCCGTCTGTCTCGCTTTCACTCCAAAACAACTGGATCGATTTAAATGAAATTTGATACACAGATAGTCTAGAGCCTGAGAAAGGACATAGGCTATTTTTTAATTGGAAAAAGTGTTGAAAAGGGTTAAAAGATATTTATTTAAGAATTTCAACGCGAGCGTAGCCGCGGGTGAAATTCTAATAGCTAGTATGTTATATGCGTGTTATACAGCGTGTCGTTACCATCGCGACAATAAATGATCACACGTCTAACGCTACTTGCCAATAATCATAAAAAAATGTTAACGTTAAACAAAATCCATAATTAAAAAAAAAAAAATTTTCAAACAAACTAATTAAGTAAAAAAGAAACAAAATTTGTAACATCCCCTATACAACTCGCGCCACAGCGTCTAATTACAAGCCTCTCCTTCTAACAGTATGTTTTGTCTCTTTTAAATTCATTCAACCCATTCATATGCTTTGTGACCTTTACAAATGAACTTTACGTTACGCTTTTATAGGTAAGAGGGTGTTCTAAAATTCTTTAACGACATTCTGTAACGACACGCTGTATATTAAATTGCCCGGATGAGGCTGAAGCTGTTACCATTATACTTCGTGACTGCAAAAATGGGTTTATATAAACTTTAGTGAACCCCATTTGTCATAATCGGATTATTGGCTCGGTTGTGAGTCATTGTGACCTTTGGCTGCGTTATTGTTGAAATTGTTTGCGCTTTTAGTACGTAAACTACGCAGCCCTGTCAGCGCTAGCCACCTCAGCAGCCACTTCTTGGGGAGCAACGGGGAGCCTTACCTGGAAGAGATGGGAGCTGTCTTCCAGGTAAGGCACGCTGGAACATTCAGTGCGCCTTCCTATTCGACCCCTGTTTCACGGCCAACGAACTCCTCAGATTTCACTGACTAGAGGCCAGGAGAGCCAGTGTCAATAATCAGCAAGCCTCCCAACCCCAGCGGTAGACCTGGTCTGTGGCCGCTCACTTTTCGGCCGCGGAAGGTAGGAAGAACGGAGCATCGCAATACCGATTCGGAAAGAACCACTCTGGTATGCGGGTGTACCTTTTGTACGCAGTCCGAACGAGTCCAGTTTTGGCACGCGCGGCCACTAGCACTTTACACCGTGATAATGTACTTCGACTTCTTCGATTTCGACCAATACCGATCTGTTTTGCTTTAATCGAATTTCCGATAAAAAAACACGATAGCGCAACTGAACGGAACAAACGCTTAATTGCGTCCGCGGTGTCTATGTGTAATTAGGACTTTTGGAAAAATAAACGTTAGTTAGGTTTTTCGGTGAATGTTGACACAGAGAAAATGAAAAACAATAACCATCTCAAGAAAGACGGCCGAGTGCCGTTTGAAGCTGCATTGGATATGGCAGGTCTGTAAAAACATTCCTAGAAAAGTTTACAGTATAAATAAATAGGAAAAAAAATACATATAGGATGATGAATATTACTCGCACCTGACTGGAAGACATCATTCCATGTACGTGGTGGTGACTTTAAATTCAATTACTCGAGCGAACTGAGTTGAAATCCCGATGCCAGCACCAATTAAATTGTTAATTGTAATTTTAAATTTTGATGATTTATTACGTGTTCTTCAGTGAAGGAAAAAGTGAAGCTTGAAGAAAACTGAACATTTTTTTGTTACTTTATTATACACACAATTATAATACAGACAGTCGGAACAAATTCCAAAAACATGTACAAAGGCGAGCTTAACCCTAAAAAGAGTTCTCTTCCAGCAGACCCTTGAGAACACGAAGCCATTACAATGTGTAATTAGGTGAAGGAAATGTAGGTACACAACATTGTTAAAGATTTTACCGGAGTAATTATAAAATATACAAGAACCTCATTTTGCGTCATAATAATAAAAAAGTGAATGTTTCCCAAGGGGGGTTGACGTCAGGCAGTCGGCTGATCGTAAAAATATAGCCAAAACCGCTTACAACATGGTTCACATGTTGTTAACCCACCGGGATAAGGGCTGGAGGATGATAATGATGAATATAAAAGTGAATGTGACATGTGCAGTTTGCCAATTGCGCGTTAGGCCCACGACTATACTCTTATACCCTTGCTTGAGGAGGCCTATGCCCAGCTGTGGAACATATTGAACCAGCCAGTGCTTCTATTGCCAGTGGCTTACTATTTCCCATTATCTTTAAAGCATTTTTTTTTTCAAGCAATGCAAAATTATTTTGTCTATTATGTTAATCGACTAATTCATGATGCACGTTACATGTTTTTTAATTTTTAGACAAGTGTGAATTACTTGGGTTGGTTCTTGTGTGAGTTTCACTAACGGTTTTTTGGTTTTTATGCTTTTGAAGCTACTCCCGCGCTGTGTAATACACGAAATACCGAAAGTAAAGTACTGCCACATTTAGAACATCACATATCATATGATGACACAACTTTTTTCCCCTGTGTGTGCAATGTGTCGTTCTAAGGGGGAGACTTAGCTTCAGCAGGGAACGTCTTGCGGAAGATGATGATGATGTATCCGCAACACGGGGCATAGCAGCAGTTGGTATGGTGAGCACCTAAGCCATTGCACCGTCCGTGCGCTCAAATCTTATTAATAAAACTATGGGTACTTCCCTATCGTTCTAAGAACAATAATATTACTATTAGTACTTTGGCAAAAGACCATAAAAACCTAGCTAGTGCCAATAACAACACGAGGATGACGATATTGCTACTTTCATTAATGGTACTTTTCTGTTACTTTGTTTCATTTTCGTGCATCTGTGCTCTGCTCATTAACAACATTTTATTTTTATTTTTCTTTGAGGCTTCGGGTGCTACAGTTACGTCATGACATGTTATGCCGGCTTCACCATCATCGCGTACGTTTGTATCGCCTTCGGCAGCACCATCATAATCCCCGCCAGCGCCTGCGAACTGAACACCACCAACTCACAACAGGGATACATTGCCGCCGGTCCATTGGTTGGTAAGTCGTTTAACACGAAGTAAATTGAACTAAAAACAAAAATTAATTACAAATATACAAAAACTAAAAACAAAAAGTAAAAGCTACCTTAATGGCAAGCTCCTACTATAATATCCAAGAATACATAGAGGACAAGGATGTTTGGAAATGACTCTTGCTCTGCACTTGCAAGACCCCTGGCTGCTGCTGATTTTATACCCAAATAAGTGTGTATAATTGCATTAAAAAATATATATATAACAAAAAGAACAAGACCGCAGAGTTTCTTGCCGGTTCTTCTCTGTGCAGGTCTAGTTTAGTGAACCGGTGGTAGATTTTTGTTGACGTTCAATAAGAGCTTAAGTTAGGCCTATATTGAATAAATATACTTTGACTTTGACTTTGATTTGCAACTACGCGTGTTTGTGTGCTCTTTCCTATTTGTGTATGCGTATATGTAAAAAAATATTTTTCTTTAGATTCAATTGCGTTAGTTGTAATTTACGGTACTTTACGGTGGTGCAATGATCGCACAATTATGAATGAAGAAAGACAATCAAAAATTTCTATAACTATATTAAATGCCTGATACACACATGTATGTAGTTACATGACCATTACGAATCGGTGGTATTTCTTAACTCTATTGATGACTATTTAAGTGAAGAATTCTAATCGAGTCAGTATCAATAAGGGAACGCTCGCAAAAAACTTAAATGTACCTAGTACGTGTTATAAAAAATGTTTCGTGAGCCTATTTTGACTTTATACATCTATAGGTTGTTTAATATGGTACTTGTTAAGAAAATCGTTTTGCCAGCCTATTCACACTTTTTACATCCCACGGTTGTTTACTGTCAGGAATAATTCTGGGCGGCGTGGTAGGTGGCTACCTGGGCGACAAGTTCGGACGTCGTCGGGTGCTGCTCATCGCGCTGATTACTGCCGCCATCATCAACGGCATCGCCAGCATCTCCGTCAACTGGGTCATGCTCATGATCCTGCAGTCCATTGCCTCCTTCTGGTACTTGAACGCTTATAACCTAAGCTCCCAACTGTACTAACACAATATCATATTACTTACTATTAAAATCAAATAAAACAATAACATATAGAAATAAAACATCCTGAATATCCATTTGTGAATCCAATTGGCAATATTGGGGTCGTGCGGTAGAATATTTATGGGCACCAACTAATAAAATCTCTGTAACTGTTTATAACAGACTTTTCTTACATATAGTCTTTAAACTATCAAAGCTTCATTGAACGCAGAACTCGCTGACCAGACGGGATAAAAGTTAGCGACCTCCATACATAGTTGCTTCGAGTCTGTGTGTACAAATAATAGAGTATTCATTTCCTATTTGGGACTTTGTCTGAACAAAAAATGTCACATTATCACTCACAGTTGCAACGATTAATAACAAAGATAAATAATGTATTTTAAAACAATCTTAGAATCATTTATCACTTACGCATCTTAAACGTACAACAAACTCTTAAATACATTTTTTTTACGTGAAACATTGTCAAGCGAGCAGGCGGTTCACCTGCCGATAAGTGAATGACGCGACTATGAATATCTACAAAATCTGTGGGCTTTTTAGACGTGTTGACAACTTTCAAAGTGCAGGCCCCGGTTATCTCACCTACCAGACGCAACTCGAAAGTATAACACTACCACTTCACACCGGTCTTCTGTAAGGCCGTGATACTTACCCGGACTGCCTTACAGGGTCTGCCTATTCATGTTAGTAAACATGAATTGACATTGACTTCGATTGAATTGACATTCTCAATACATTTATTGTAATATTTTGTATATACGACATAACCTTAATTATTACCTAAAGAATAGTGACAGACATAAAATAAACACTAGAAATAAGGACAACCTTACTACAACATTGTTTCGTCTGCAAAAAGTAAATAGGTCGTTCATGGGGCAGTGTGCGCATGTATAATAAAATCCCACAGTCGATATTAAGTCTGCCGCTTGACCAATTTAAATGTAAAATTAAAAATCAACTAATGATTAAAGCATATTATACCATTTCGGAATATCTCGACGACGCCAATGTGTGGGAGTTAATACTGTTGATACTCACGTAGGCTAGAATAAGACTATTATACCTGTATATTATATTGTACCCTGATATTTTTGAAAAAGAGCAACTGTTGAGTTTCTTGCCGGTCTCTTCTCAACAGAAACTGCTTTCCGTACCGGTGGTACCTTACGAACCTATATACATAATCTTTGATGTAAAATTTGACGATTTATAAGAGCGTGCAAGCGTCTATTTGAATAAATATATTTTTGATTTTGATTTTGATTTTGAGTATGATAACCAAAGTCGCTTTACTTCCAGCGCCGCGGGCGAGTACTCGTTATCAATGACAATCCTCAGTGAGAGCGTTCCTATGGCTAAAAGGAACCTGGTGGTCTTGCTGGTCACCAGCATATTCCTAATGGCGCAGGGAGTGATGGCAGGTACGACACTAAACCTTACTTTTTAAAGTGGCTTTGTTAATTCAATCTATATAGTTGTACTCTTATAAACGGAAGTCAACTAATATTACTTGATAATTCTTTATATTTTGCCGCCCCTACCTTAATTCAAACGTGTATATTACGCGGATTTTAATATTAAATTATCGTCGTTTCAATACTCCACAGCAATAATGTTCACGGTACTGAAAAGTCCGAATGTTATTGTGTTTAATAATGGAAATGTTACCTTGGTAATTTAAGTTTTAAAAAACACGATAATTCCATAACAACAGTTCAGCTATGTATTCTAATAATTATTTTTAATGTAGTTCTATATTACTAAGTTTTTAAGTAATAATAATTGACTTTGAAATATGTAGTAAATAGTATGAAAATAAAAAATAAAAAAGTATGATATCATGAATATACAAAGATGGGAAAATATACAAAAAAATATAATTAAAGAAAATTAAAAGTAACAGCCTATACATGTCCCACTGTAGGGCAAAGGCCTCCTCTCTTTAAAGAAAATCAAAGAAAAATAATTTCATAAAAAATACAAAGACGAGTTGCAACCCAATCATTTACGCAATTTGTAGGTAAATTGTTGAAACCTGTCTACAACTAATTCGTCCGAACTGTTTTACATTATTGATTACCTACTTTTATTTACACAATTATACACAGTACAAAACTATTCCACCAACTCTGCTGTTTGCTCTATTATATAATAAATAACACAAAGCTTCTCTTTCCTAATTCAGTCCTTGCAATCCCTATCATTCCCCTGCCGTTTTCAAACTACATCTCCGCTTTGGACATATACTGGAACTCCTGGCGGACGCTACTCCTCGTCTACTCGGCACCGAGCCTGGTATCTGCCGCCTGGCTAGCCTTCATGCTGGAGAGTCCCAAGTATTTGTTTACGCAGGGGCGCGAAGAAGAGGCCCTGAAGATAATTAGAACCATTCATAGATTAAATAAGGGCAAGTCGGCAGGGGAACTTCAGGTAAGACTTTTTTATGATAATTCCGTACAATGATGCTAGATCTCGGTTTTAGAAAACACATTTATTTATAACTTACTAGCTGAACGCCGTCACGCTTCGCTGCGGCTTCTTTTTTCAATATTCGTTAGAACTTTGGAATTAAAGGTATGAAAACTCTTACACTCTCCTTAACGAGTGTTAAGCAGAGTAGTGAGCAGCACATCTATTGAACAGGTGAGTACCTGTTCAATAGATGTGCTATTGTCCTAAATTTTTACATAAAAAGATACTCGATAATGTTGTTATCACCAAAAAAACTTTAAGTAAATAATTATATATATATATTATAAATAAATATTAATAATGCTGCCTGATTGGGATAGCTCGACCGGTTAAGTCTCAAGGCCTCACAGAAAGTCGACATAACGTTGGATTCTTTACACTCTTCGTTTCGTCTAGTTAGTGGGATAAGGATATCATCATCTGAAAAGTTCCAATCAGCCTTTTGCAGTCCACTGCTGGACATAGGCCTCCGCAAAGGCACGCGACAGAGCACGATTTTCCGCTTTCCTCGTCCAGCCACTAGCAGCAGAGGGACGTCCAACACTACGTTTTCCGAGACGTGGTCTCCATTCGAGAACCCAACGCTCATCGGATCTACGACAGATGTGGCCAGCCCACTGCCACTTCAGCTTGCTACACTTGCGGACACATCATCTTAAAAGTTTTCTTATAAAAAAAGAAGCAGACATTTATGATGTTTCCACTACTATTCAAATTCTGAGCACCTTGATGCTTTCAATAAACCATCCATAAACATTTAAGGATATTTATGTGATCCACGAGTTTGATTTTGAACTTTTCAGATAACGGGTCTAGTAACAGACGCGCAGCAAATCAATGGTCCCGCCTCGTCGAAAGACCAGATCGTTCCACTTTTCAAATTGCCACTCGTCAAGTACACTATAATCGTAACCGCACTCCATATGTTCCAACAGTGAGTATTACATATTTCTGCTATCCTAATACATTCTGCTGTTGGACTATTGTTTTCGGATAAGAATCTTGTAGATCTTAAGATTCCTGGGATCCTTGTACAAACCTTCATCTTCTCACCTTCAAAGTTCAACAAGTACCTATAAACAACATTCACCTTATATTAAGTGATTATACCGTTCACGGGCATTTACCTCGTTTCTGAAGTTGCGACCCTTTGTAAAGTTACTCAGCAGACGAAAGGTCAAAGTACGCACATAGCGCAGCGCCAAAAACAAAATGCAGGAATGAACAAAACTTTCAAATAACCTTACATAACATGTGTCTGGTCTACACGATATTACTAGTATAACTTTCACCTCCAATCTGCATCAATATTGAATGCAGATCGTTTTCAGAGAAAACGAAACCATACCTTAATACTATTTACAGAATAGATCAGAGTTGTAGGGAACTCCACATATGAGGCTCCACTTCTGTGTAACCAAACTCATTACATCTCCTGTTCACCTTAACAGGGTTGGATCTTTCCAAATTTGGCTGCCAACAATAGCGAATCAATTCATTCAGATCGTTGAGACGGGTGAAGGCACCGACAAGAGTCTGTGCGCCATCATCAACGACAGTTTGGAAGCACCGCCCAACGTGAGCAATTTCTGTTCCACACATTTCACTACATTTCCCACACAGGCTAAATAATGATGATTATTAAATATCTTAAAGTAAAAATGCCCAACAAATTAGAGAAAATTATAGAAACAAATCAACGATGTGATAACTTATAACACACACTGATTAAAAAAAAGTTTCGTATTTATGTTGTGTAAAGTAAAGTATCAGCCTATACATGTGCCACTGCTGGGCAAAGGCCTCCTCTGTACAGAGGGTATCGGCGCATAGTCCACCACGCGGCCCCACTGCGGATTGGCGGTCTTCACATATCTTCGAAATATTTTTTTTTAATTATTATTTCGAAAATATGCAGGATTCCTCACGATGTTTTCCTTCACCGCTGAGTACGTGATAATTCGGCACTTAAAGTTAATAATTTCATTGGTGCCGGCACCGGGGATCAAACTCAGGTTCAGGATCAATTCTTGAGTATATTGAATTAAAGGCTAGCGTCCGGACACTGAGCTATTACGGCTCCCGCGCGACACGGTTGTGTGATAACTGATAATGCTACGTGGGTCTCACCCTCACCATTTGCAATGCAATTGAAGTTTATTCCGGCTACGTTCACATGCTAACTGTTTGCTAATTGAGATATCGCTCTTGAAGGTATCTATATTTTTGAGGTATATATATATTTTTAGAGCGCTAAAAGAGATATCCCGGTAATCACTTGTAGAATTGACATATCTAGGTTCATTTAGAAGCCTGTTGGAAGGGAGAGCTAAATTGGCTTAGTAAGCTTAGCATACCAAGATATATACTGATGCTGCTAGCATCTTTTGTAACTCTATAAAGCGTATTCAGTCACACATGGCCTGTTCTCATTTTTGGGCAGGGCTTGAATACCAGCTCTTTCCATTATTCCTCATAGGAGCTCTGAAAACTTCAGCCTTTTCTATAATAAGAAATGTCGAATACGCTTTTTCGACTTTTTCAAGGGTATTCGGTTAAAACACTCCTCACAGGTAAGATATTTTTACTTGGCCATAACACCACAGTGAGTCTTATCAAACCAAACAATGGGTGTACCTTTTACAGCCCGACATTGCCCCTTGTGCACTGAACGTAGTGGCTCTTCTCATGGTGCTGTTGGTGTGTGTTGCTCAGTCTGTGGCGAACGCTCTTCTCAGTTTGGTATGTATATTTTTTTATTTTATTTTCAGTTTGAAATTTTGTTAATTTTTCGTTTGTTATATTTTACAGCAGTTATGTTTATGAGTTGATTTTGTTTTGTTTGTCTGTAGTATGTAATACAATTTTAATTATATTTCTTTTATTTTTTGTAAAAATTTAGTTTTTTTGTGTGCGTCCTTTTTCTGGTAAATTTCTTTCTTTCTTTTTATACATTCGACGTGTTTTTTCTAAATATTACGAGTATTGCGGAAAACGCAGAGAAATTTTCAGAGAAATTTTCCATCATGAAATTATTTATCATATACTTTACAGTTCATATTAAAAAACGCAGTAGGTATTCCGAAAAATAAGTTAATGTCTTGGCGTAATCATGATCGTTATTCTTCCCATAAAAATAAATAATAAGCCTAATTTATTTCATCAAAGTCCTATGGTTTCCTACCCTTTTCGCCCAACTATCGGCCTTTGGTCTTCCCTTTCTACCAAAGCCTAAACTTTGGTAAATTCCTCTACGAAGATCGTGAACAGAGTGGGGCGTCGCAACATGGCGATGGGTGTGACCGCTACGTGTGGGCTGGCAGGCGTCCTCGTGAACCTGGTGCCTAACGCGTACGGCAGTGTGGCCTTCTTCATAATCTTCCTGCTCGGGATCTTGGTGATAGGGCTGTACACCGCCATAGCGGTCGCTCTGTTCCCCACTCAGCTCAGGTGAGATTGTATAGATATCCACAATGCCGTCTTAAGGTATATCGGGCCCTAGGGCACACAAAAATTTGGGGCCCATGGAAAGTAAAAAAAGTGAATAAAAAAAACATTTTTTTGCTATTGTCTTATATTTTTTTATTTATTCTATAAACTTCCGTCGGAATATATCTACCAAAAACAGAGAAAAATTGCATAGTTAAAGCGAATACGTAGGCCATGCGGGGCCCCGTGACGACAGGGCCCTGGACACGACCCCCGTGTGCCCGGGACCGTGTTATTGTTAAAACGGTCCTGCCTGTCGATATTATGGTAAATCTTGGCGCAGCTGCTATTTTCTTTTAATGTAAGAAGATGGCGAGCGAGCTGACCTTTCACCTGATGTTAAGTGATAATAGCCGCCAATTGGCATCCGCAACACCCGTATGGTTGCAGATGCGTCGCCACCTTTTAATACTTTGGTGCCCGGCTTCTTCATTCACCAGACGAAACGACTTCCATGAGATCGTAGTACTTCCCCGGATGGACCCGCCCATTCGTTCAACAGCGAACTGTTGCGTTATTTTCACAACTCGTGTGAAAGTTTGAGAAAGTGGCTAAGGAGGTGATAAAGGATTAACGCCACCCAAGAGCATATTCACCCATGATTGCAGTTGTTGCCATCCTTTAAGAAGGTTATCCCCGGTAACGAGGTAAAACGCCGAAAGTACTAAATTTATTTCGATTAGATTCAGCAAAGGGAATAGCGTGAAAAATATAAATATTCTGCTGTTACTTATGACATAAGATCTTATCGGATAGAAAATTGGACTGTTAAATAAATGCAAAAAGAAAAATGTTTTTTGCTTTCAGGGCCCTCGCTGTTGCTCTCACCATGACCGGTGGAAGAATTGGGACCTTTGCCTCCGTACAGATCCTCAACTTGATGCTCGTGACAAATTGCAATGCCGGCTTTTATCTTTTCTGCGCCATATTCGCATGTTAGTATCACGAAGAGGATGTACATATTATACTTATTAACCGACTTCAAAAAGAGGAGGTTTCTCAATTCGACCGTATAAATATTTTTTTATGTGTGTTCACAGATAACATCGTCGTTTATGAACCGATTTTGATAATTCTTTTTTTTTATTTCTACCCTTGTATCATGCTGCTTTCTTATTTATTTAGCCGCCTACTTCCTTAGGGGCCGGCCATTAATCATATGAGGTTCGATAGGGGAGGTCGGGGTTTGACAAAAATCGCGAAATATCATCACAAGGGGGGAGGGGGGCGAGTAAGATATCACGTGTATTTATTTTTTCGTCAAACGTGCGATTTCTAAGCCGAAAAGCAGTGTGTACTCTGACCTTGACTCACCGTTACATTTGTATCGTGGTCCTTAATTTCAGAATAAACTAGATTATACTCTAAACCTGTATTTAAAGATAATATTAAAAAAAAAATTAAGATTTTTCGTAGGTACTAAAAACTACACGTGATTTTGGTGTGGGGGGTACTCTTAAACCTCACCACGTATCTCCAAAGTGGCAAAGGGGTATAAAAAATGCTAAAATCCCCACGTGATTAATGGACGCCCCCCCACCAAATTTTCGAGTTGATAAACTCAAGAGGTTCCCCTGATGTTAAACAATTACCGCCACTCTTGGAGGCATGGAGATAAAAAGTACCTAACAGATTGCAGATGCATTGCAAGACATTAAAAATTACCATTTACCTTTACCTCTCTCGCCAGACGAAACGCGAAAATTGGTATAATACTTCCACTTCACGCAGGTCTTGTGTGAGGCCGTGGTACTTGGTAAGACCGGCGTGCCCACTTGTGCAACCACCTCAAGCTCTGCTTGCACCTATCACAGTTACCTGATGAGCGTGGAAACCTTCTTTATTTGTTCTACAGTTTTCTATGTTTATCCACAGTCAGTTTTCTTTATATTTATCTTTGTTCGCAGCGTCAGCGATCATTGCCGCTTTCCTACCTGATGATAGACGATTACAGACTCAGCGAAAACCCGAAGCAAAGAATACAGAATAACTAGCATAAACTAGGGAATAGATTTAGTCTGTAATATAACTTAAATTACTGCTTAACTTTAATTCAATTAGAATAAAACGGATATACAGCGTGTCTTTACAATCGCGAGGATACATTTTTAAAATTGTATTAAACATTTACATTCTTTAAATATCAAAAGAACAATGGCGAAATCTTATTTGAGTAAAATTCTAGCGTCTAGAAAAGACACATTAACCAAGAATATAAAAAAAATATCTACTATTTATCAAGTTATCATTTAAAACAGTTAAGGCCGGAAATAAAAAATAATTATTTAGGATACTTAATTGATTGAAATGATTAATATTTATCACTTTAGTGTTACCATTTAAAACTTTTATCCTTAAGTATGGTAGATATTTAATGGTTACATCGTTTTCTTAAAATACAACTTTAAAAGTCTTTGAATATATCAGTTTGCCTGAATATAACGTTTTACGTTATATTATATATTGCTTTTGATTATTTGTTTTTATATTATATAGTGTAATTTATTTAGTTCCATTCCGTTACAAAATCTTGTGGCGAAATAGCAAGTAAATGAAGAAATGTTATGGCAGCACTGAAACTGTGCTTTAGAGAAGCGTTGGTAGGTATTTGACTATGCCTTGACATTGACACATTGACAGACGTTTACGCTCTACCGTTCGCTGTTGTTGCTTATTTGATTGTTTTCCGTTTTTTCACTTGACCCGGCCTACTAGGACTCTGATAACTGATATTTTCACTTGTGACCCGTACATGCCTAAGGACTCCGATAAATTCTTTGACTATGAAACAACTCTCTGTAATTATAAGAGACGATGATGAAATAAACTTAGCATAGAATATGGTTGTTTATTGATCCCTATTCCTTCTGAAAGTATTTGAAAATCCTCGCTTTAATATCTACATAGATTTTTCTAGACAACTTTGTAGGTTTTATAGCTAGAAATGCAAGTTGGTTATTTTAAATCCAGAAAAAAATAACAAAATGCTTTGTAATACAATCTCTCTTAGATCTACAAATATGTATTGGATATAACCTTCCTTCATTATTATATACAATACATATTCACTATTTTCTCTTGGTCCGTGTAATACTTGAATTTTTGTAATAAGTAGGTACAAAATATAGAAGTGACATTAATAACCTACAAAAGTTCAAAACTGAATATCTCATATTCTCGGCCTCCTGTAAACAAAATTCTTGCACAAAGAAATTCGTAATTTATTGCAGTATTTAATAATATATTTTTTACTCATAGTCGTAACAATTTAATTTGAAATAAAATTGTGTATGGAAGTTCGCCATTGTTCTTTACTGAATTATAAAATTTTCCAAAACAACGAATTTTAGAACATCCTTACGTATAAAACTGTAACGTAAATTTCATTTGTGAAGGTCACAAAGCATATGAATGGGTTATGAATTTAAAGAGACAAAACATACTGTTAGAAGGAGAGGCTTGTAATGCGACGCTGTGCCAACGAATGAAAAAGTCTCTGAATGTATGAATCAGTCAGTTGTAGTTGTATAGATGTTACAAACTTTGTTACTTTTTTACTTAATTAGTTTGTTTGAAAAATATTTTTTTTAACTATTTATTTTTTAACGTTAATATTTTTTTATGATTATTGGCAAGTAGCGTTAGACGTGTGTTCATTTATTGTCGCGATTGTAAAGACACGCTGTATACATAGAGAATAATAATTTTTACCATTTTTGACAGTGTTAACATGTTTTACATTGTGTGACATATTATATTAAATATAAAAAGTCTAATTATAATCTTTTATAATTATTTTAAAAAGCTGTTGGTACATTTTAAACTATTTTTGGGATTTTGTTATAAAAAAAGTTCATTGTCCCATAAAAAATTTACTTATTATACCGAGGTAGGTAGGATGCTTGGTTGTTCCTAGTATTTATACCATGCATATTACTTCATCTTAAAAATTCATTCTTATTTTTATGAACCTACATATCATTTTAAAGAATGTACTGAGAAGTAACAATGAATATATCTATCTCTTTAAACAAATTTCTTAATGATCCTTTGGGCCAGTTTACATCATCCTTAAAAATAGTTTCTTTCTTATAATATTTATCTACTACTAAAAAGTAAATAAATAGTGATGAGCCGCAAAGTAATTACATACAGGTTTCAGATCCCTAATAGTTTAATTTACTAATCGTAACCAAAGACCGCGAAATTAATACATCTGTTACAATAATTTCTCAGTTTAACGTCACTAGATGGCGCTAAGTCAATTTTATAGTAAAGAGAACTTTCCCCAGATCGCGCTGAATTTTCCACGATTTGGGCAAACTGAAAACTCTAGTAGGGCGGAAAACTTCACTGTATATGGGCGGTTGTACTAGGCTAACATAAAAGTTCAATGGTGTCCGTACAGAAGAAGTGAAACGCATGCGCCATTATATTGATTTACATATCTTCACCCTATGTTCACTCACGTTCACACAAGTAATTGCAACATGGATGCGGTATCAAAAATAAAGTAAGACGTGAAGATTCTTCATATACGAGAAAAACTATTTTACTATAAATATCAATTCGAAATGCTGAATTTCAGTAATTACAGCTGCCGAATTACTGCTAATTGAAATAAATTTAGTTTTAACCAGAACAATAAGAAATTAAAATATTAACCTATTTAACAATAAGAAATCAATTAACTGAAACTTACTTTTCAAATAAATTCTCATGAACCCGTAACATTTCATGTCAATTGATAAAACAAGCATACCGAAATATTGTAAAAAAATTGATATGAACGAACCATGAAGACACTTTATTTAGAAATAACTATTTGGAAAGTACTTATTCATTGTTATAATAAATTGGCAATTAGCTAGATATGCTTTTAATAATTTATTAAATATGTTACCTTCTCCATTTTTACCTTCTTACTAGATCAACTAGATTAGATTTTCCATGGACAACATAAAGTCATGTTTGCTTAGTAGTTTGTACTTTCTGAAAATGTGCGACTGAAAAAGAATTTCTTTTTTCAGAACTTTTTTTTAATGTGAAATGTGTAGGAAAAAGCTTTTTAAAGGAAAAAGCCTTTTCTGTTAAAAACGCAGAAGTATAATACTTCCACTTCACTCCGGTCTTCTGTGATGCCCTGGTACTTCCCTGGACGAACTCATTCGTGCAGTACAGGCTGTGCATGGCCCTGAAAAATTTATAAACAACCTTAAAAGGAAAACAATCCGTAGATGTTTTTATTAAACCATTTGCAGTACTCGATAAATATTAGAGATAACTTACATCAAGACAATTATCACCGCCAACAAATTGTAACCTGGAATCGATTCGGTATACCGATAAAAATATATCACTTGAATCATTAACAATACATATACGACTTCGGGAAATGATACATATAGCTGATTATTCATGATAATCCAAATGAAATGAGTGTCTCGGGATATCCGTTAAATCCACTTGAAATAGATACAAGCATTTATTAGTTTAAGTACTTAACAATTAACATTTGCACATACCTCTGTTAAATTTTAAATCTAAATGAAACTATTCACAACTTTCTTGCTTTGACTAAACGGAAACGACGTATATAATTAGTAGGACCAATTAATATACTATTAAAAGCGCATTTATTGCGCGTGTTGACGTTATTTACGAGAACGAACATTAACGTCAAATGATAACAATTTCGAAATTAAACAAAAGAGACAGAAGTTTCGGGTCCCTCTCTCTCTAACGATATATTTTTATAACCTGATCAAAAGACTAAAAAACCAGCCAAATGCGAGGGACTCGCACACGAAGGATTCCGTACCGTTGACTAACACCATAAAATCATGTCTGTTGTATGGGAGCCCCACTTAAATATTCTGAAATATATCATCTGTGAAAATTTCAATTGTCCAACTATCTCGGTTCATGAAACAGAGCCTGATGACAGACGGACAGACAGACAGAAAGCGGTGTCTTAGTAATAGGGTCCCGTTTTACCTTTTGGGTACGGAACCCTACAAACCCCGCCATGTTGCGGTAGACTAATGGGCCTCATGTCTTCTAACGATCCATTATAGTAAGAACAGACTGTATGTGAGATACCCAGAACAGGGTTTTAATTTTCTGGTCAGGGTTTATATAACCAGCAACAACTGTCAAATTTGATTTGCATTTTATTAAGGGTAACACTTCACGATTATTAACATTTCATTACTTAAAAGAAAAGGAAGTAATGTAATTATGAAAGAATGATTTTAAGTACACGATTGCACGAAATTTTTTATTCCATTATCAAGATCATTAAATAATTGAGAAGTGATGAAGTAACAAGCATTTAAAAAAATAATAAACAACATTAGCCGATTCTACAAGACTCATTTTATCTATGACGAGGATGCTCAATAAACTTTTTATAACTGGAACAATCATAGATGGTGCATTACTGAACTGGGAAAATGAAAGACACGTAACGGTTTAGTGGAAAACACTTTTTGATTCATACTAAAGAGTTTGGTTTTATATAAAGTTTATCAGTTACGCGAGGTCTGTGACCACCTCGTAACGTGCCAGTGTTCCTGTTTTTTATATAATTTTAAAAAATGGTGCTTGCAAACGAAAATAATAACAAAGCAGATGAGAGAGTTACCAAAAAATGCAGTTACGAAGAAGCTTTGGAGTTCACGGGTATTCAGTATATTCGTTCTTTTATTATAAAAGTATTCTAACTTATTCGAGTCTCTTCAATGATAATTTTTAATCGTCTATTGAGTTTTATACCACCGCTTGAAATTTAAAAAGTTCGCAGGGGTCAGATTGCTCTGTTTTAAGTGAACTCTCAAATTTGCTGAATTCTATCTAAACATTGAGACGATATTTAGTGGAAAGTACCTGGAGGACCTTTGCTCGGTTTTTTTTTTGGTAGGTCGTGTATTTTCGGCGAAATTTACCGTCATATTCAAATGATATTTTTCATTCCCTAAAACAGGGATAAAAGGACATTTTCTAAAAATGTAACCTAGCTAGTTCGATTTTTCGCCCTTTTTACCATGTGGAAACCGAACCCATGACCTACGACGCTGAAGCCAATAGCTCAACAATGGCGTCACCGAGGCAGGGCAATATTTCATATTAAGTAATGATGACTTAACCGCTAACGCTAATTTTAGTTTTAGCCTCTGTGCTTAAGATGAGATTTTCGAACGGTGAGAAGTTTTCTTTTATTTTTTTTTATTAAATTCAACCGTATAGCTACGTAGAAAAGAAAGAGCTTTATTTACATATTTCATATAACTACGAATAACTAAAGACATGAAACAGTGACCAATAATAACTGAGAACACCGTTAGGTTTCGGCATGTACAACGCCTACATGCTGGCTTCCTGCTGCCTGCTGATCCTGGCGATGTACCTTGATATCTTCGGTTTCTCAGTCGCCCTACCAGCCGTCGCATGCGACTTGGAGCTTACTGTTACACAGCAGGGTCTACTGTCCGCCGTACCTCTTATTGGTGAGTCAGCAATATTAGTAGATTTTGCTAAGCACTGAGATGTTAAAATCCATACTTCCATACTAATATTTCTGTCTGTCTCACTTTCACGCCAAAACTACTCAACCGATTTAAATTAAATTTGGTACACAGATAGTCTAGAGGCTGAGATAGGACATTTTGTAAAGGCTAAGGCAAGGCTATTTTCTTATTGTAAAAAAGTGTTTTAAAGGGTTGAAAGGTTAAAGAAAGATATTTATTTAAGGGCTTCAACACGAGCGTAGTCGCGGGCGAAAAGCTAGTATTTAATAGCTAGAAAAGCTAAAAGTAGCTGGCTATGTTCTCAACATGTCCCTTTACTGAGCAAAGGCACCCTCTGTACAGAGAGTATCAGGGCATAGTCCACCTGCGGATTGGCGGACTTCACATATCTTCGAAATATTTTTTTTATTACTTCGAAGATATGCAGGTTTCCTCACAATGTTTTCCTACACCACTGAGCACGTGATAAGTTGGCACTTAAAATTATTAATTTTATTTGTGCTGGCACCGGGACCCGAACGCAGGTTGCTCGAGTATATTGAATCGAAAGCGAGCGCCCGGACAGTGACGGCTGTAATAAATATGTCATATTTATTTTAATTCCTTTAAAAAATAAGAAAGACCTTTTAGGCATTCTCTATCTCTCCAGCCAGATAAGCTGTGGCATACTGAATTCTTGAGCTGGAAATACTTCAGATTCAATAAGTACAGAATCTCCTTCAATAATTCGTCAAAAGCTTACAGATTCTTACAGTTTGTGGTTACCACGGGTGCAGTTAGATTTTAGAATGAGTCAAGAAAACGACCAAAATGTGCAAAGCCATAAGACTGTACATTATCATACATGGTGATTTTATAGACGACGGACATATTAACAGAGCATATGCAGAATTTGATTCTAAATCTGAATCTGGTACGTACTTGTGGCCTCATTTTTTTTTCAAAGATTAATTTTTCAAACATTATTCTAACTCAATACAAATAACCTATTGACGAGCACTAAAACTGTTCGCTGAACACATAATTACTAAACTGCTTACCAATAGGGTAATTCTCAACGGGACAAACAAAGTTTGAATTGATATTATGGTTATTTCTTGTCAAAATAAAATATTAATATTTTTTTGAATAAAGGTATGCTCAATTAACATTATGTCAAAGTATAAGTACTTCGTCAAAAAAAATCACCTGTAGTGTAGATTATTATTATTATTATGATTATTAGAGTAGTATATTTAAATTTTTGATTAAATTACCTAAATAAAATACGTGTGCTGTCTGAGAAATTGACAATCTAATTTAATTATTTTTTTGATTTTTAATTGAACCCCTCAAAGTCCCTCGGGCTACACCCGTTTGAAAACGGTTGTATTTTGTTCTTTGCTACCTCAGAACTCTGTCATTTATGAATCGACTTTAAAAACTCTATTTGCATTTCATTGTTGACGTCCCATGTGATCCACCATATTAACTTTATTGACATTGGACCTTCGGCTCCAGAGATACACAAGAGAACTCGTCCCGTTCAAATCATATAGAAAATGTATAGTGAGTCAAATATTTCAAGTCGGTTTTTTTGATGATAAAAATGTTATTATATTTTCCATTACTTTGATGACACATAATATATTTTATTTCGATATTTGTGAGTGCCGGTCGTTTAATCAAAATGAAACATGCATAATTCGTACCATTTAGTATAAATAGTTCATTTATTGTAAAAAAGATCACTACACATGGGATGGTTATAAAGTCATCGTGTCTTCCCGCGTGTTTGTGCGTCGCAACAAGGTCGTGAGTTGATATTAGACAAGGCTAATATCAGCTGATATTGTACGTTTAATTCTAAACAAAGGTTACGGCCCTATCCACAATCTACGGAGACAAAAAGTCACAAGTATTTCTTCAGTAGAATAATCTGGACTTGGCAACTTAATTCACCACATCCATTGTATGTTTCATCATAAGAGATGCGATTGCATTTATTTTTCGAATGAGTTTTAAATAAAAAATTTAAGTAGACAAATTTCTTTTAGTATTTCGTATCCAAAGGTTAAACGGGACCCTATTACTCCGCTGTCTGTCTGTCTGTCGGTCTGCCTGTCCGTCTGTCGCCAGGCTGTATGTCATGAACCGTGATATTCAGAGAATTGAAATTTTCACAGATGATTTATTTCTGTAGCCGCTATAACAAAAAATACTAAAAAACGGAATAATAAATATTTAAACCCTACTTAAATCCCATACAACAGACATGATTTTTTTACCGTTTTTATAGATAATGGTACGGAACCTAAGTACTTGTGCATGACTCCGACTCGCACTTGGCCAGTTTTAACAAGCACTTGCACAATGGCTTTTGTATCATGTTTAAAAACTATGTACTAGTTGAGCGTACACAAAAATTACATACATTTGCATAAAGAATGTTTAAGACGCCAATCAATTCAATATTGATAGTGTTTAAATTGTTTTTTTGCATAAGTTAAAATAACATATCGGCAAAAAAAATAATGAGCACATTAAAACTCGTAAAATTACTTTCGAAGACGTGTTGTAAATTGATAACGTTTGAAAAAACGTTCACATCTTACTAAACTTTTACATAATTAAAAATGTAACTTATACCTGCTTTTTTATTCACCGAGCTACTCTTAAAAATAAATTAAATTTTTGTTGTAATTACTTGCACACCACCTCTCAGTTACAAATTACGTTACTGTGCGAAGATTTTGCACTAGTCACCTAGTTCTTACCTTCTTTACACACAATAGTTTCGGTTCTATCAAGCTCCCACACCAGGTGAGGTCTGTCCATTATTATTATATATTAAATATTTAAGTAGAACATAGTGCGGAACGTGATAGCTAATTGTCCGCGCGCACGCTTTTAATTCAATACACTCGACAACCTGAGTACGATCCCCGGTGCCGGCACCAATGAAATTGTTAGTTTTAGGTGCTGTCTTATCACGCGCTCAGTGATGTACGAAAACATCGTGAGGAAACCTGCATATTTTCGAAGTAACAACAAAAATATTTTTTAAATTTGTAAAGTCGCCAACCCTCAGTGGAGTCGCGGGGTGAACTATGCCCTAATACCACCTTTTTTTCAAGTCAAGCTCTTATTGAACGTCAAAAAACTAACACCGGTTCACCAAACCTGGCCAGAACCGGCAAGAAACTCTACGGTCTTGTTATCTGTTATTTTTTTTAATGATACAAATATCTGTACGCCTCTGTACAGAGGACTTTCCTCTAAACCGAGGGGGCGTTTGCCCAGCAGTGGAACATTTATAGGCTGTTACTTTGTGGTTCCAGGTGTAATGTTGTCATCGTACGCTTGGGGTCTCTTCGCTGACACCATCGGAAGGCGAGTTACGCTGTTGCTGGCAATGCCTCTTGGAGCTGTTCTCAGCCTCGCCGCCAGCGTGGCACCCACGTACACAAGCCTGGCCGCGTTAAAATTCCTCTCTGCCGGATTGTGAGTTCAATAGATCACAATAGTAACACAAGGCCACTACATTCATGCGTTTCGATTGTCAAACACGAGTTCACTTATCTCAGTGCCATTTCACCTTCAAGTTAGTTTACACACATTTAGTTCCCTAATAGTGAAGGATATTAGCCAACACGTATCACGACAGAAGGTCGATTATGGTTGTGTGAACGAAAACATTATTACATGTCTTTGTATATCGGGTGTAGAAGATGGCAAAAAAAAATTTTACACAAATTGTTCAAACGATCGTGTAATGGTAAAATACAAACATTAAAAGAAATTATAACCAATCTTCCTATTTATAGGTGAACCAAAAAAACTTGACTCCCGAAGAAGTTCCGTACATTTTAATTATTATCCAAACTACAATTGGATAAATTATATTATCCAAAATACAATGCAATATGGAATATAAATGTGTGACGAAATTCAAAGGATTTTATCGCCTTATACTTGATATTTTTACAACCATAGTTAAGATCGCTTAATATGTGCAAAAAGCTGGATGGATGCCACTTACTTAATAAAAAGACAATAAAATATTCTAAATGCAACACGTGACATTATTATAGGGCTAAGTAAATTAATGAAAGTACTGTAAACCTTAATATGCCTCAAATCTGATTTGTGCACAATCGAATATGATACTGGAGGAAAACTATAACTCTCTTTTATCCAGTTCCTCTGCAGCAAACGCGGCTGCGTTCGTCCTTGTCGGTGAAACGACTCCGGGGCGGCACCGAAGCCGCTTCATATTCCTCATGGCCACCACCACCATGTTTGCTCAGCTCCTGATATCGCGTAAGTTTACATTTTTTTATGTGAGATGGTGGCAAGCGAGCTGGCGTTTACATGCGCGACACCCGTAGGGTTGCCGATGTGTTGCAACCTTTCGCTACGTCGCTGATCAGATGAAACGCAGAAGGTTAACACTCCCACTTTACGCCGGTCTTCTGCGAGGTCCTGATACTTACGCGGCACTTACGTACGGGGACGGATCAGCCCGTTCGTGAAACATCCGAAGATGTTGCGTGGTCCTACCACAGTTGAGTAACATGAGAACTAATTCTTGTTTGTATTGACCAGTCCGAGCGGAGTTGCATTCGGGGTGAAATAGGAATTGCATCTCTTTGAACGAGGCGACACTAATGCGGGGATTTTCCCCGTAGCACTCCCGCAGCGCCATCTATTGATGCAAGAATAGACTGGCTTTTTTGGGGAAGCACCGTGGGAGCACAGTCATAGAAGACAAGCTTAATAGAAAAAGCGGGATAGAAACCTTTGTATCTCTCGAGCATTGCAAAAACACTTGATTCTGTTGGATGAGGATGATTTGCGATGCCATTTTATTAAGGAAATATCCCACGTAATACAGCGCGGTGTTACACCCCGTCTTGAGACTTGACCACTGCAAGTCTTCAGAGCGTTTTAGTTAACACATTTAACGATGGATTTTTAATGTAGCGATGCTGTTCTTATCGTTTATTATTACTGTTTTATATATTGACTGGAAATAGAATTTTAACGTTATTATTATGGAGCCAGTTTCAAATACCTATTTCCGATAGGTATTTGACATTTGCCCCAACCAATTCTATTTGTGGGTAGAATATTTAAACCGGCCGTAAAGTCGAAACATCTGCCCTGCCTAAAGATTGTTATCGTATTTTTGAAACGTTCGAATCCTTGTCGTCAGTGGTGGCCCTGCCGGTCTTCGAATTGACCTTCGATGTGCACATATCCTGGATGTCACTGCACTACCGGCCGTGGCGGCTGCTCCTGCAGATCATCGCGCTACCGGGCATCGTCGGCGTGGTGGGCATGGTCTTCCTGCACGAAAGCCCCAAGTTCCTGCTCAGCAAGGGCCGGAACGAAGACGCTCTGAGGGTCCTTGAGAAAATCAGCCACCACAACAGCAAAGAACAGTTTCGCGTAAGTAATGTCTCTTCTATTTTAACTATCAGCGAGTTGTCAATAAAAAAACTTGCGTTAAACTTCTTTAGCGTAACAAAACCAAAACAACTAAAAATCTCATGTCAAAAACTTGCTATTGGTTGTCATGGTAATACCGTGGAGTTGGTCACTTTGCAACCAACTTCATCATGTCGCTTTTTCGCTGTCGGTTTGCGGTCGCATCGAAAAATTTTTTGTCTCATAATTTTTTACAAACGCACCAAAAGTGATAAAGCTTTAATAATAAATAACAAGAGAAACGAATACTTGCAAATTAAAGACTTTTTGTATTATAACTATAAGAGTTCTAACGTTTTTACCTTGATCGTAATATTTTAACTATTACTGAACTCGAATATTAACAACTATTATAACGCCAAGCAGCACTAGTGGTTATATCACCGTCCGGGAACGCGGCCGAAATTCAAGTCAAAGTGACCGCTGCTACATGCGACCATGTGTCCCCCTTGGCTCGAGTAGATAACGTCATATCCGGTATACAGTGTTGCCAGCGCCAACATAACTTACTATGCTACACTAACATATGTATAATAAATACACCTACTTACAAACATAATATCGTTTTTTTTCTTTGAAACATTGCACTTACCACAGAAGAAGATTATTCTGTGTTGTAAGAGCCTTTAAAAAACATAAATTTCAAACACCCAGATCCATAATAACACACACTGTGGGTCACATAAGTACTTGTCCCGTTGTCAATGTCTTGACAACGTCGCCACGTAGTCAAAATAGTACAAAAAGAGCAAAATACGTGTTTTTGTCGTATAAACAAGTTATAATTTGACTTTAACAATTATATTCTTCGTCATACAGGTCTCATCGGTATATTTGGAAGAGACGACAGTTCCAGTCAACCCTGACACCTCGTTCATGCGCAAAATGTGGAACCAAACAGCACCCTTGTTCAAGCCCCCTCTACTCAGGAATTCTTTGATACTTTACTTCTTACTGCTTTGCGCTTACATGACGTAAGTACAGTTAAGCGTGTCGAGAAAATGCATTGATATATGTACATACAGACATTTTTACTCACGTTACTAATATGGTAGCGAAAACTGAAGACCCAAAGCCTATCTATCTGTAGAGATTTGGTTACTGGAATTTTTGACGTTGGTATTAAGGAGCTCTTGCCAAATACATATCGCTGATAACCAACCAATGCAGTGTACAGTGAGGTACTTATACTACTTACGTTACAGCTTATACAGGGCGGCTTTTCTAAGTGTATCCATTTTTTTATTAAAGTCTAGACATAAATAATGTCATATAAAAATGATAAATATTTAAAATCACTTGTAATTAATTAAAACGTTCATTGGAACTTATCTCAAAAAGTGCGTTATTTATGGGCAACTCATATTTTACGCGCGATCATTCATAACAAAACTGACCATATGTCCCGTTTTGAACGGAACTGTCCCTTTTTTTGGACAGCTGTCCCTTTGTCCCCGAACAAATCTTCGGGACGCAAAATTGTCCCGTTTTCCGAAACCGCGCAAAATTTTAAAACCACGCTCGTCAGACATGATCATGAGCAGCGCGGAACCGCTATCGGTTATTCCCCGCATGCATGGTTTCGTAGTAACGCGGTGAGGAGGAGAGGGAAGAGGGCATTTGTTTCTTTTACTAGGCTAGCCACGCGCATGTATTCTGACTTCTTTATGTTTTTGTGTGCTAATGTTCGCTAAATAGTTTTGTAGGTAATTTGAAGTTTTGTTGTTTTGAATTTTTTCCTATAGTTATGCCGAAACCCAAGTGTTCCTTTAATGTTAACCTACAAATAAATTATCCATTTATTGAGCAAATTAACACTCCTTCGGATATCAGATGCGAAGTGTCGCATAGTTTAGGGTTTCCCATAGTGGTGCTGGTGATATTGAGAAACGTGCCAAATTTGATTCTTATTTAAAATCGTCACGTTCTTTATTAAAACAAATTTGTTCCTCTGAGAAATATAACAATATTTAAAAACATACCCAAGTTGTTTTAATAAAAAATAGTGAAATGATGATTTTTCTTTGTATCTTTTAATTTTTAATCTTATCGGAATAAAGAAAATTAAAAATTTAAATTTTTATTTTCATTGTAAATCAATGTCCCGTTTTGAATTGGAAAAAAAGTTGTCAGTTTATTCATAACTAACACGCACACGAGTTCGTTTCAAAAGTATACGACGCATATATGAATTACTACCGCATTGTTAACAAGTTCGGTTTTTGGGAATGGAATGACAATTTTTTTTTTGAAGAAAAGTTTGTTTTTATTTCAATAAACGATTATACTACCGAGTCTGAACCTCCTGTGTGAAATTGGGTACCTTTAGAAAAGCCACCCTGTATGTGTCCCACTGTTGCAAAGATCTTTTTTTGTATAGGAGATATTAGCTATAGTCCACCACGCGACCCCACTGCGGAATGACGGATTATTATTTCGAAAATACGCAGCATCATGATACCTCACGATTTTACTTGACCAGCGAGCATGTGCTAACTCAGCGCTTAAAATTGCAAATCAACAATTTGATTGGTGCCGGCACCGGGATTTGAACGCAGGTCAAACGCTAATAGGCGTACACAGAGTTTAGGGGTTAACCAAAGGGTTTTAGAGGTTCAAATCCAAAATAATACAATAATATTCAACCAATACATTTTTTTAATTAGGTAGTCAAATTCTCATACACGGAAATGAGTCTATTTAGGTATTTTAATAACAAGCTAAACAGCATAAGGATATGATGGTTTTGGTGGCAAACGACATGGCTTGTATAATTATAGTACCATCATAAATTAAAATAATTTATTTGCCCTAAGCATTGTCTTGGGTATGAGTGATATAATAGGGGTACTATTAATCAATTTATGTAATGAACTAAATCTTCAACGCGATGTATTCCAAAGAAATATAAATACGTGTAAAAATTTCCATTAAGACGAGAATCTACACCCTGTATATTAACTTGTTTTGAAGAGTATAACTCTGTATTTATTTATTTACCATGACCTGGCCATAAGACGAGATAAAGAGTGTAACGTTTAATAATCGTAGCAATTTTTTTAATCTTACTTGCAGCATCAACGACCGACTCTTTTTGACAATTTGACCTATACAAAATTTATATGTAGTCAATAAAAATAAGGCATGTTGTGTCCATCGCAGAGCAACGGGTTTCACAATGTGGGTGGCGACGGTGACCAACGCCTACTTCAACGGGGAGGATAGCGCGGGAAAGACCTTCTGCGAAGTTGCCAGCACCGCTTCTTCCACGAGCACGGTACAGTTTAGTCCGGCTATAATAATTTTTTATCAACTGGCTGCCAAGCTGGCAATTCAGCTTATTTATCTTTTTTACGTAAAAATGTGGCAAAAGATCTGGTGGGTCGCCTGATATTAAGTGATAACCGCCGCAGTTTAAGACAGCGAGTTTATAAATGTGGCAGTTTATAATTATATATTGGCTATACTGTAGAGAATAGGCGAATACTGCATCTTCTAGTATTCTAGTATTCACGTCTTAACCGCCTGATCCAATATGTACATGACACTTTTACTTGTAATCTAATGCACTTAATTTATGTTATAACACCGAAAATTAATGAGGTTATTTCTTTTTATTTGCAGTTAGCCACAGACTGCAACACTGCTATAAAGCCATTCACATTATACGCTGTGGCATGTTATTCCGGAATTTCGGGATCCCTCAACACGATACTCTCATTCGTAGTGGGTCCCGTTGGAAAAAAGAAAATAACCATTACGATATTCTGTGTGTCTGCGGCCAGCGGCATAGCTCTGATCTTCGTCAGAATCCCACTCCTTAGTATTGTGCTATTCTTCTTTTATAACTACGTGGCACTTATTTTGGGCACAGTTAACACATATCTAGTGGAATTGAACCCTACTTATTTAAGGTTAGTAACAGATAGTGAATTTCATTTTTTGATTATTTCTTAAGCTTAATTGCATGTTGTGCACTTTACATACCATGAATAATTAATGGCCAAGCTCCATGTCTGTACAAATCAAACTATACATAATGTTAGCCTATGTATTAAGTTATATTAATAAAACTTTGCATCTTTTTTAGAATAAATTGCCAGAGAACTTCATAAATAACTTTCCGTGATATTACCTATATCAAACATGTGAAAAAAAAAAATAATGCAATAGATTAGCTTGAAATACATTTATTTCCTTGCAAAAACTTTGATGTCCAATTTTTTAGATAAATTCATATTTGAACATAACTTTTTCAGAGGTATGGCAACATGTCTATCCGTGGTGGTCGCCCGAGGCTTTGGATTCTTGAGTGTTCAAGTGATTGGCAGCCTCCTATCTGATCATTGCACGCCTATGCTGAGTGGATATATTGCATTAGTCATAAGTAAGAATCAGTTTATTTTAAGTTACTATGTAATACATATTTATACTCATCACCTCATCTTAATATACTGATGAAAGATATAACACAATTCTTCTTCTAAACAGAAGAAGATGAAGAATACAATTATGTTGCATTTAAACGAAAAACATGACATGTTAGACATTATTTTCTATCGTGTCCTGTCTTCTCTTTACATATTACTGTATGTTAATTTTACAATAACAATAACTTTTATTTCAGTTGGATTAGCAGTAACTTTCTTCTTACCGCCAGATTCAAAAAATGATAAATATCACGAAGAGAAGAACGAAACCGAAATTACACGCTGCTGATTGCTTTCTAAAGAAATATATCTATGGCTACAAAAGTGAAAAATAATGTTACGACTTTGTAAATATTTAAATAAGATTAGATTTAATAGCATTGTGTATATAGGACGATGAAATAAATAATTTATGCCTTTCAAACTGTTTTATCTTGAATACACGTTTTAATTGGAATTTTTTAATTTTGTTTAATCCTTAAACATTTCTTTTATTGTGAAGAGAAGGGTTTTTATCACATTGTAAGCCTGGAGGCTTTGATAGATTCGGCAGAAGAGGTCCGTGTGCAGACGAGCCTCTGACTATGAAGGAACGATGTAGCTGGTGCACGACGATGATGCGATGATCGGACATATCTTTGCGACCCCTACTAACGACAGATAGAGCATTGGACTAAAACAGGACACGATTCCATAGATTTGAGTCAAAATTAATAGTGGTTAAATCCCACTTTTTAATTGCAATTAAATCGCGAGACATAACGTTTACGAAACTAATAGAACGAACGAAAAATGAAACAAACGACGAAAACAATTTATTTGCAAAATGATTAGTAATTAAAGAAACAAATTTACAAACACAATTATTTCTTAAAAACAAAAATTCTTGAGTTTAATTACGTTCGGTCATTCACTATTATTGATACGAGTATAGGGCAAACTCTGTCTTATTTATTTATTTAAGTATTTATCTACATGACGTAAACAGTTTTAAAACCGGGCTCTACGTGTAGGCGCAGCATACCGGGGACCTAGCATTCACAAGGAAACGCGCAGCCCCTGGTATAAATAAGTGATTACATGCAGTGAGTACTGCGTTAAACAAGGCGATACTTTGTAAGTCACTATCCTTTCGGACCTCTATTGAGATATGCTGAGTCTTGGATGCACGTTCCGAAAGTGTAAAGGATAAGTACCGAAGGATCGTACTTACGAGATGGCGCCGTCTAATTAACGTTTAGTCGATCCCGAGGATGAAATAAGACGCCTGTAAAAACATTAATTCTACCATAGCCGTCCGTAAGTTTATACGTCGCGATAGAGGCCTGGCCAATGACCGACGCTACGGCATCGCGCCTAGCTTAATTCTGAAACATACACCAGGCACAGCGTGTTCACCCGCAGACGCAAGGTTTCAGATTAACTTTCTCCACATGATGTCCCCGTGTGCCAAAACGCTTTTTAATCGCCGTTAATCATGTGTTTAACGTTTAAACAGCTATTCTGCATACCACATGTGCTCGACACATAATTTACTAAAAAACATTTAACTTTCGAATATTAATAGCTTCCGTTCGGTAATTTTCTTTACCTTAAGTTTGGTAAATCATTTAATTCTCTTAAAATAATTGTTTTTATATTTAATTTTCGTAAGCGTTGTACCGTAATTAAATCGCAATTTTAACCTTTTTACTTCCGCTGAACAGGTTCTAGATTCCACTATGAATTTCGTTCCAAGCTGAGGTTCAAACTTCCATCTGAGGAGCCAGGGATCGTGTCGTGCTCTCCCTTGATAGTGAAGCTACCATGCTTGCTGCAATGTACTATCAAAAAAAAATATTTTATCTCTTTATATCTAGCTGGATTTACATCTATCGCATATAACCCCGTGACGCAATCGTCATGGGCATGGCGTGGGCATGTATAATCTTCACGACAAACAGTCACTGCATTCTCATACGACAAGCCATCATTATATTCTCATTCACCTTCTCTGTACCACCCCAAGGTTGGCTGAGAGATAATGCCTGTGGCATTAAGTCCATCTCTGTACAGTTTGTGCATAAAGTATAAATAAATAAATTCTCATACTCAGAGCAGTTCAACTTCAAAAACTTCAATCAATCTTAGTCACAATTAATTACTATCTTTATGGGTTATCGTATTTTAGCTGGCAACTTATAAAGAATCGCTGTCAGATTGGATAAATGTCAAACTGTCATTCACTGTAGTGAAACCGCCAGCGATATGTCGGATTCTGCCGGTGATTCAAAACCTAGAGTTGTAGTTTTAGGAGGTAACTTCGTCGTTTTCATGCTACTTATGATTTCGAGATATTTTCAATGTAATAAAATAAATTTAAAAATTGATTTACTCTATTTCTCAAAATGTATTTTTTCAAATCCGATAACGGTCTTTTGAAAGTGTTAGTCATCGGGTGACCTAAGTGTTTTTTCTTAGTCTGATCGCGCCACTTGCTTCAGGGTGCGGCTTCATCGGCCGGAACCTGGTGGAGCATTTAATAAGCAATGACTTGGTGAGAGAGTTGCGTGTGGTGGATAAAACACCACCACAATTAGCCTTCCTCAATCCTACACACACAAAGATCTTTGAAGACCCCCGCGTCGAGTATAAGAGCGCCAATCTTATAAATCCAAGTAAGTAACAATTAACAATTTAAAATGATTGCTGTCTTATCACTTTTTATGTAGATGATTGTTTCTCTATAGAAATTTCTAATCAAACATACAATTATCAACTTGTGATATATTCTTGAAAACTGATAATTTGTATATATATTCAGTAATATTTATATTGCCATTAATTACATTACAAAATGTTTTTGAAAAGTATACAGTGTTTCCACATTGTTCCCTATTGTTTACACATAAAGGTTTTACATTGCTATATTCCATATCCTTACTTTTATACTTAAAACAAACACCAAAATACAGACCACTGAAGTACATAAAATAATAATGAAAATCAAAGTCCAATCGACACAATATTTATACTTTCTTTTATTCAGTTCCGGATTAACCATGTTGCATAAGTTGCAATTGCTACAAGCCCCGCGTCAAAGAAGACCAGCATATTTAAACCCACTCATCTCTACCTGAGCCCTAAATCTTTTATGCCACTTCATACTAAAGAACCTGTAGGAAAAAACAGGCTATTTGAAAAATTTGCTACAGGCCACATGCTTGCTTAATCCAGCACTGCTTTTAATGTACATTAAAACTGTCTTGTTTTAGTAACATCCCTGAATTTTATACTTAAAAACATAGTTGTATCACAATCCAAATATAGAAAGTGTTTTAATTTTTTCTTAACACAAATAACTTAGTTTCTAAAAAAAACATTTATTACATAACAAATATGAATTCATTTATGTATTTTATTGAAAATATCTTAACATATATTTATTATTCATGTCATTGACTTAGATAAGGTCCAACCACAATATGAATCATTTCCTCATTGTGTTATTTACAGTGATACAATGTAACAGAATAGCACAATATTGTTACATGTTGCTAACTAATAATGTTAAGTTAGTTTGATTTCATATTCAGAACAAAACTGGGGTGTTATTCCACACAAAAATTAATTTATTCATGTCCTATGTGAAAATAAAATTATAAATTTATAAAATATAAAACAATTTTGAAGAAAAAGATGTCTCAAAAATAGCTGATATGTCTTATCAATAAAATATTTATTTAACAGTTATACATCAGCATTACGGATTTCAAATGTGTGTCCATTTTATAGTACATTCGTGCCATTTTAGTGTTACAGTAAATCTGATCATAAATCTCAGCATAATCGGTGTACATACATAAAAAAATATACATATCAAATTGTAAACCACCTCCTTTTTGAAGTTGATTATAAACAGTCTGTTTTGTGAAAAATAATTGAAGTGATAAAATTAAGTAATAAAGCTAAATGAAATAAAACAAAAATAAATTAAATCAAACTATTTTATCTCCCAATGCAAGTGATGTCAGTATTTTTTTATGTGAAAAGTTAACAAGCGAGCAAGCGGCTAACCCGATATTAAGTGAATATCAATAGCACATGCACATCTACAATGCCTGAAGGCCAGATAATGCCAATAACCAGATAAATGGCTACTTTAACACTGCCATTATATGTATGTACGCATAGTTTATTAATCAGCTTAATGAGGTTTGTTCATATCGTGAAGAAATGTCCAGAGACTTGTATTCTTTGTTGTATAAATGAGTTTGAATCGATACATCATATAATAATACCATATAATGCAAAAAAACATTAACAAAGTATTTTTTTCACATGCAATTGTGCTCTTTTCTTGTGTCGGACGATTTTGCTTAACTGGTGTTGAAGTAAAATTTTTGTTAGCAATAAATTGTTTGACCAGCTCCTTATTATCAAAGTTGATAAACTCTTTTTGAATGTCATAACCGCAACTGCTATAATTACCCACTAATAATAGTAGACATAATTAATGGAACTATTTTGAAGAATTCTGATTTGGATTATCTTGAAGCTATTCTGTTACGCTCTTTATCGAACCGGCTCTTATCGCCTTAGTGCAACAACACAACATTAAAGCTGAATTTGTTTTCCGTTTCACGTAAAAGTGTTGCTACTGCACATTTTCGTTAATTTTTTGCTATCTGTATGTAATGACAATATCTTTAAAGTTTTAATTAAATCGGCATTAAGCCTTAAATATTTGTATAAATAAAAATTGTAATTTAAACATACATTATACTAAGGCAAAGTTTGTTAGTTATTCTAAATTACAAAATATTAAACCATCAAAGTACTTATTAGGTAGCACTCTGCCTCCGCTTTCGCATAAATAACTTCGATGCCTTAACTAATTATTTTTCAATATGCTCCACTTCGTGCCGTCGCTTCGCTTAATTAAATTTTCCCCACAATAAATATTTCAACGTTACTGCGACGTATATAGTATAATGTATAACTCGGCAATGTTTTGATAATTTACCTAATACTTTTATCTATATCCGTACTATTATAACTATGTACTTATATCAATAATAATGATTAATTGATTATTATTTATTTAATTTCCCGCCAAAATTACACCGTCTTCCATATTTCGTTTTGTCTCATCACTGTTTCGTTCACTTTTAAACCGACTAAGAAAGGAGGAAGTTCTCAATTAGACTGTATTTTTTTTATCTACCTCAAAACTTTCGCTTGATTTTTTTTTTGAACCGATTTGCAAGATTCTTTTTTATTTGAAAGCTGGTGTTTCCCATGTGGTCCGTATTAATTTCATTGGTATTGGATCTTGGGCTCTGGAGATACTTAGGAAACTCCTGAAAATCAATTATAAAATGAATACAGATCGTGATATCTGAAGTCGGTTTTGTTTTAAGTTAATAAAAAAAAATGGACTTGTTTTATAATCTCTTTATACGTATTAGTTTTTATGCATTTCCTAAAATTTTATTATTTTAATTGATAAACTAAATTATCAATAAATATTCATATTCGCCCGAATACTAAACATATTTAAATAAATCTGTTTCGTTTTACGGGGGTTACCATCATGTTAGGGCACTGTTAAATATTATAATAAATTAAATCCAAGCATTCCACCACTGCACGACCTTCAAATACCATAACCTCTTTTGCGTAGAACTGAATAAAATAAACTACGAGATAATTGGCGGTACCGTGCGTTAATATGACAATGGGACCAAGTCTCTCCCATGACCAAGAACGCTGAACAGTATATCTGTGGTAGGTCTGACTTGGGCATGACACGAATGGGCAACTTCGTCCGAGGAAGTACCAAGACCTCCACCCACCACCCAAGACCGGCGTGAAGTTGAAGTATATACTTCTGCGTTTCGTCTGGTGAGTGTGGCAACCGGGGCCCACTTAATTAAACGGTGGCAACTCATGCTTGATTGAGATCAAACAAAATGAAAAAAGAAAAAAATTGCTAAAATGAAAAATAAAAGTACATAGTCGTCGCGAAAAGAAAATGAAATTTTAATTTGCTAAAAATAGAAAATTGTCGTCCACATTTCCGCATCGTGACCAGATAGGTCGCTTAGCTCAGTTTTATAGGGCGCTTTTTCTCATTAAAATTCAGTCCTGAAGCGCTATTTTTATCGTCAATTCATTAGTTTTTACTGGTCTAAAATAAAAAAAACTCATGTTTATATTTTAGACTAGTAAAAAAACCTACCCGACTTGTTAAGAATGTCTAAGATCGTCTGTTCATATCGTAGTGTTTCGTATTCTTGCAGGTCTGTAACATTTGTGCACGATCTACAGTGGTAAACTCTAATCACTTTTAACCAATGATGTTTAATTTAATAATATAGATTTATATGACATATATATATCTGAATGTGAAAGATGATATAAAACGTAAGATAAGAAATGAGAGCAGTCTATAGAATTGCAATCTAATTACACGAATTTGCCGAGTGCGTGTACAATATCATTGCTTGTAAGATTTGCAAGATGAGGGAAGCGATGAGTGGAAACTACTCTCTCCAAATATTAGTATTTGGAGAATTCTCTGCCTAATTCTCGGCCAAAACCCAGAATATTGGCCATGCTCGATATTTGGTCCTAATAAATTTCATATGTCTGTCCGTCTTGTGTCTCGGTATCGGTCGAACAAATAAAGTTCGGTTAGACCTTATTAAAGTACCTGCTTAAATTTAACATATTACTATATTACTAATATTATAAACGCGAAAATTTGTATGTATGGATGGATGTTTGTTACTCTTTCACGCAAAAGCTACTGAATGGACTATGAAACTTTACAATAATATAGCTTATACATCAGAATAAGACATAGGCTATAATTTATATACATATTTTATGTATATCTTCGTCTTTCGGTCTGAATTTTACGCCTTCTGGTTAAGCTAGTTTAACATATTTTTGTCAAATCGAGATTTATTGGATCCGTATCCAATCGACTTCCTGTTTTGTCGTGTAATCTGTGGAAAATTCTATTGCTATTAAGAGACGCATTGTGCATCCGCGTCCGTTCTTATCGCTGAAGATAAGCTTGTAGCTAAAAAAAACGTGATAATTTTATCAAGTCTAACGCAGCACGTATGACGTATACTCGAGGGGGTCCGCTGCGAATGTTTATCCACTTCAGATACGACATTAATCTACCCGTAGTCGTACGTACTCTCGTGCATCCTAGATTTTAACCGCGTCAAAACAAAAAGGATGCGCCAAACATTGCTTCAAATGCTAAGAAACAATATAGAAAAAGACGTTAAGATTTTCGTCGGTGTGGCAATCAGCCGTTTAGCTCAGTGGCTAGAGCGTCAGGCCGCGAATGCCGAAGGCGTGGGTTCGATTCTCACAGCGGCGACAATCTTTTCGTACTTTTTCTACATATTTTAATTTTAACATAGAATGTGTTTGTTGACTTGGTAGGGAAAGGAACAGATATCACTTTGTACAGTTATTACGAGCACAAGGACAACACAATAAACTTTTTTTTAGAAGATGGCAAACAATATGGCGGGTCACCTGATGTTAAACGATAATCGCCACCCATTGACGTTTGCGACACCTGTAGGGTTGCAGACGCGTTGCCACCCTTTTAATAAAGTGGGCGCCGGCTATCGCACTAACCAGACGACACGCAGAAATGCAACATTTCTACTTCACGCCGGTCTTCTGTGAGGCCGTGGTACTTACACGGACGGTCTGCCAATTCGTTTTTTTTAATGTAAAAAATTTCCAAAAGAGCAGATGATTCACCTGATGGTAAGTGAATACCGCCGCCCATTGACATCTGCTACACCCGAGGGTTACAGAGGCGTTGACAACCTTTTGAAAATTGGGCTCCGGCTACCTCACTCACCAGACGAAACGCGAAAGTATTTGTCATACTTCCACTTTACGCCGGTCTTCTGTGAGGTCGTGGTACTTACCCGGACGAACCTGCCCATTCGTACGCTCGGCTGTTGTACGAATGGGCAGGTGCTGCCCATTGCTGCGTGGCCCTACCACAGTTGAATTTACTTATGTTAATAGATGTTTAATCGAATCAGTTTTCGTCTTTTCATCGTTTTTTTTTTAAAAGACCATACCCGTAAAATAATTTATGAATAATATATTTTACTAAAATATAAGTTATAAAATAGTATTTCGCATGATTATTATTTATGTGCAGTTAGTATATTTTTTTAATTGCACTAAATCAAAGCCATTAGAAGCTACAAATTTGAAAAGGGAAAAACAAAAATGTTGTCGTATTTAGATATGGATGGGCGCACTTTTGGCGCCTGCGGAAGCGAATGCATTTTTTTTTTAAATTAATAGCTCACGGGATCGTGTCGTGGAGCCAAGCGAGCGCATCGTAAAATCAATTTATTCAGACAATAACAACTGATATTTGAATGGTGCATATCTTGTGGGAGCCCATTCGCCCATTGTGCTTCGAGTGACTGCGCTCGCATACTAATATGAGAGCTTCGATGTTGATTCATAGTCTCCGTTTGATTTTTATATTCAAATATTCTCTTTCTATTAAGCTGACTTAGGCGGCATACGACTCATTGCTGGCTCGAGATTTCGTAAAATCGTCAATTGATGTCCCATCCAATTCTTGTGCTTATACGATAATAAGCTGATGAGGTCACCAGAGGCAGCTTTTTTTTTTGTGAAAAGTTGCCAAGCGAGCAAATGGTTCACCTGATGTTAAGTGAACACTATCGGCCATGGATATCTGCTACACTAGGTGTATATTTATATATTTATATTTTATTTTATTTACGTTTCTCTTATTGTACGTCCGAAATGGGCAAACTGTTAAAAGAAGTAATTATGCAACGTATAACGATTGTACACAGTTAAGGCAATAAATGATTATCTCTCTATCTATCTATCATTAGTTGCTTTTAGTATCAGGATCATTTAATAAAAAAAGGAAAAAACCGAATCTTTGCTGTCCAACGTTTAGCAAACAAAAATATATTAACTTTTTTTTTTTAATTTCATGGCAGATTAAAAATGTTGCCAAACGCAATCGTCTCCGCTCCGTCAGCCAATGCGCGACAAAAAAGGGCTTCTACTGTTTCGGCCCCAGTCGTCGGAAGCGCGATAGAAATTTCACCATCCACAAATAACTTTTTGCCTTGTACCTTGCTCCAGAATCGATTTTATACAGGCTATTGTTAGCCGTGATAGGCTCAGTGTCTTGATTACTTCAATGTACTCAGCCTACAGAGCAACCTAAGTTCATATCCCGGCATCAGCACCAATGTAATTGTCCATTTTAAGTGATGAATTTTCGCGTAATCGGCGGTGATGGAAAACATCGGAATGCAACCTGTACAGAGGAGGTCTTTGCTCAGCAGTCGCACTTGCATAGGCTGTTGCATCACTTTACTTTGCTTTTTGTTAAACGGGCAAGCGACTCATCTGGTTGTAAGCTGAGGCCACCGCCCATGAGGAGGCTCACGACAGCGGATAAGTTGCATCCGTGTTGCCTTATTCGAGTCCAGTTTACCACAGCCATTGGATGAAACGCAATGTTATAATGCATATACTTATCGCTTGTCTTCTATGTTGCACGAATAGGCAGGTCCGTCCGGGTAAGTACCACGACCTCACAGAAGACCGGCGTGAAGTAGAAGTGTTTCACTTCTGCGTTTCGTCTATATTATATTTATTGTTAATATGACCGTCGTCTATAAAATCACCCTGTATAATTATTCTGTGATTGTGATGTGAATACATATGTTACTGAATTCCTAAACGGATGCTCCGATTATAATGAAATTTGTGTCTTCAGGTGGATTCGAGAATGGTTTTGTTTCACAATTCGGTCTACTACATTTTTTTAATATATTTAGTACAGGCCAACGTTTGTCTAGTCGGCTAGTATACATATAAAATTTCATATAAATCGATCAAGCCGTTTCGGAGAAGTATGTCAACTAACATTGTGACACGAGAATTTTATATATATACTAGGTGATCCGGCAAACGTTGATTTGCCATATAAATTATTTGTAGAAAAGAAAAAAAATTGTTATAAATCTATTCTCGTACCTTACACTCTACTCTCGTACTACATATAAATTCCATCAAAATCAGGAGTATAAACACTAAAACTGTGACGCATGATTTTTGTTTACATATATTAGATAGATTATATGGCCCTCCATATAATCTACTCACTCCCTTAACTTGATAAAGCAATAAAAATTCTCAAGTTTTTATTGCTTTAACAAGTTAACGTCAATCGTCTCGTCTTGTATCGTCTACCAGCATCATGTGCCGCGGCGCTCAGCACCGACGGGCGGCCCTGGGAGCTGGTGGTGAACTGCGCGGGCGAGACCCGCGTGGGGCAGACCGAGGCGGTCTACTCGGAGGGAATATTCACGCTGAGCTGCAACGTGGCCAGGCAGTGCGCCAAGATGAAGGTCGGCCGCTACGTCGAGATCTCCAGCGGCCACATGCACAGCAGCGATAAGGTGAGCTCACAGAGCACTCCCAAAGTATTTTGTAGGCTCGATAAAGAATATAGTTCAAGTGACTTTAGACCTGAGCGCTTTTAATAAATTTTATGCACAATAAATTTTTACCTTTCTGCACTTCCTGCTAGTAATAAAGTTGAACTATGGCAAATATCATACTCCTCCGCGAATGCAGTACTCTTATGACGTATAATTATAGAAGAGAGGTAATCAGTAGTAGGACGACAGTCATAGTAAGCCAATCTATGATAGATATTAGTTTATGATTTTTATTGGGAAATACGGAGTATCTACAGCCGTGGCCTACATTGTATACATGTATACGGCTTATCGTTTGCTACGGCGGCGTCATAATCCAGGGCGTCACAAAAGTAAAGTGGGAAAAGTAACAGCCGATATATGTGCAACTGCTGGGCCTTTGCCTCCTCTGTACAGATGGTATTAGGATAGAGTCCACCGCGCGAACTGCGGATATATGGACCTCACATATCTTCGAAATATTTTTTTGTAATTATACTGTAACATAGTACCGATGTCAACTGGAAGATTATACATAATTATACATTAGCATTTGGTGATAATAAGGTAACCGGAACCCCACCCCCTTAGGCTGACGAATTTCAAATAATGTTCATAAAGCGGGGAGCAACGGCGGGAGGAAAAAGAAAAATAGATACTACTAGCAGACCCGACAGACGTCCTGTACACACGACTTAAATCCGACAACAACTTATAAATAAAAAGAAAAAACGAATTGTGAATCTAAAACATTCTCGCATCGACCTGAAGATACACAAAAAATTTCATTAAAATCGGTCCAGACGTCTAGGAGCAGTTCAGTGACATACACACGCACAGAATAATTATGTGGGTATATTAAAGATATATACATAGACTGTTGCTATCTTTCAAATTAGCTAAACCCAATCCGAAGCCCTACGAACGCACGGTACGAAATGAATTTCACCGCCGCGCGAACCTTAATTAATGTCGATGCGGGGCTTCCTTCGATTATCGATTATCGTGCGATACGAAACTATAGTACCAAATAATCGATCGGACTCTTATACTTTTTTTTTCTCTTTTTTTTATAAACATTGCCCTTACTTTAGGATAACATTATCCTGTGTTGTAAGGACGTTCTACAAACATAAATTTCACGAGGAAAAACCAGATGCGAAACAATTATATGTGGGTCACCCAAATAGTTGTCCCGTGTGGGAATCGAAACCACGACCCCCGACGCCGAAGCCGAAACCTTGGCGACTGCGCCACGGAGTCATACTATCGGATGCAGAAAACATTGGTAAACAAAACGGGGGTACAGAGTGTATCTCGTGACCACGGAGTGTTCGACCATTCGAAAGGTCGTGAATTCAAAACAAAAATGTGTCAAACAAACTTGTAGTAAAGCTAAAAAAAACTTTGAAATACTTAGTAATTATTTAATTACTGATAAATAAATGATTTAATTAAGGTCGCGCGATGGACTATACCCTAACACCTTTTTTTTTATACGATAAAGTGGCAAACGAGCTGGCGGTTCATCTGATGTTAAGTGATAACCGCCGCCCATGGACATTTGCAACACCCATAGGGTTGCAGATGCGTTGCCACCTTTTAATAAATTGGGTCCTGGCGGAAAAATTATGATAGATCCAGTCATTTTTCGGAAATTTCGAGAACCCTGTATATTATTAAATGAAACTATTTGTATGGATCTTATAGCGTTGACGCATAACTCCAGTCTTGTAAACTCACAATTCCTATATCTGATAAATATGTGGTCTATATATGAACCCTTATATTTAGTCTTCTAAAGTTAAATAATCATCTCGTACATCGTCGCAGCCGCAGAAGGAAGACTGCACTCTTGAGCCCTGGACAGTGGAGGGGCGGATGAAGGCCAAAGTCGAACAGGAGCTCAAGAACTTGGAGCCGGAGTTGAGCTACACCGTCATAAGGCCAGCAATCGTGTACGGAATTGGAGATAGGAGGAGTTTGAGTGAGTTTCTTTAATTCCCTTTAAAAAACCATAACTCCCCCTGTACCGTCATTATTATCGTACTCCTCCCAAGTAGAAATAAAATCACACGTAAATCCAGCACATAATATAATGGCAGAGCACATCGGCTCCTCCGCAACTTGCTGCGGGTTCGATTCCCGCACGGAACAATTATTTGTGTGACCTATAAAAACCTTACTACTATCCTATCGGCAAATGCAACTATTATAGAAACAATATTGCTTTGTCGTCATTGTGTGTTTTGGAAATCATCAAATGATAAAATTAAAATCTTAATAATCTTTAATCCTAATCTCTTAATCCGTCCCTTGCAAATATTTTAGAACTTAGACTTGTCGAAACGTATATAACTAGCGACCCGCCCTGGCTCCGCACGGGTGCAACGCTGAATGTTTGTTTTCGACATCCCTTACAAAACTCTTAAGTTATCAGTGTTTCTATATTATATTATGCATGAATTATATATAAATCTAAACCTTCCTCTTGAATCACTCTATCTATCAAAGAAGACCGCATCAAAATCTGCGTATTATTAAAGATCTAAGCATATATAGGGGACAGACAGACAGCGGGACGACTTTGTTTTATACTACTATGTAGTGATAACACGTAATCCCTTACAGCGCCCCGGCTGCTCATAGGCGCCATCTACAAGCACCTCGGCCAGACCATGAAGCTGCTCTGGACGGCGGACCTCAAGATGAACACCGTCCACGTGGCGGACCTCTGCCGCGCCATCTGGCGGCTGGGGCTCGACCCCGACGCGTGCGGCCACACGTACAACGCGGTGGACGAGGCCAACAGCACCCAAGGCTCCCTCGCCAAGCTCGTCTCCGAGATATTCAAGATCAAGCACGACTACTACGGCACGGCGATTTCCACGCTGGCCAAGGTTTTTGTTTTTCGAAGGCGACCTCCAACAAGGTTGCGTTAAACGTTTAACGCTACATGGAGGGGGTAGAAAAGCGCTGTTGCTTGTTAAATGTTCAACGCTCCTGGGGAAGGAGAATAGAAAGAGACAGAGCGAGAGTGAATGCGTGGCACTCGAAGTTTTACTTCTTCCGCGGGGAAGGACTTTTTTTGTCATAAAATATAATCAGGTGCCTTGAAAGAGGTTGTAGTTTGGCGAGGTAGAGCCACTGCTCCATCTCCCCTTAGTAAGGCAGCACATCAGCCCTCTTAAGTCTTCTAATCGGATTTGGCTGCAAGAGCATACCGGATAATGGGTTTGGATGAGTTGTCTTGTCAAATGGTTCTTGTAGTTGGCCGAGTAAGGTTTTTGTTATGTGAAAACGTTTCAAACGGCGTTTCGCCTGCTGTTAAGTGACAACAGCCGCCCATGGACATTTGCAACACCCGCAGGATTGCACTGGCTACCTCACTCACCGGACGAATCGCAGTGACGCGGCACCCCTAATTCACGCTGAACCGTTCCCTTGCAGAGCGACATGGCGTCCGTCGCCGAGCAGGCGAACGACACGCACCTGAGCGCGTGGGCGGACATCTGCCGGCGGCACGCGCTCAGCCACACGCCGCTGGAGCCGGGCGCCGGGGCCGAGCTGCTGCTCAACCGGCAGCTCTGCCTCGACGGCGGCCGACTGCTGGCGCTGCAGAAGCCCACGGTGCCCGCGCCCACCGCCGCCAACCTGCGCGAGGTGCCCCACTGCACGCTCTGGAAACCGAGCTCGTTTGCTTTTAGGGTTCCGTACCCATAGGGTGAAACGGAACGCTATTAATAAGACTCCGCTGCCTGTCAGTATATCACCAGGCTGTATCTCATGAGATAAAAAACAGAGATCGACAACTGTGTAACTTTAACATCACGGTTCATGAATAGTTAATACAGTTAGAGAGTTGAAATTTTCAAACATGGTGTATTTCTGTTGCCGCTATAACAGCAAATACTAGAAAATACTTAAGTGGGGTTCCCGTAAGACAGACGTGATTCTCTGCGGTTTTTATAGATAATGGTACGGAATCCTTGGTGGGCGAGTCCGAATCGCACTTGATTTTTTTTGCACGGATTTTACGATAGAAGGTGGCAAGCGAGCTGGCGGTTCATCTGATGTTAAGTGAGAACCACCGCCCATTGAAGTTTGCAACAACCAAAAGGGTTTCCACCATATAATAAATTCGTTTTCAAAAAAATGCAGCTTCTTTTTTGTTTTTTTTTTATGTCCAAAGGTGGCAAGTGAGCGGTTCACCTGATCTTAAGTGACAACCGCCGCCCATTGACCTCTGCATCACCCGTGGGGTTGCACACGCGTTGCCACCATTTAATAAAGTGGGCACCTTCACTCACTCTGCTAACACTACGGCTAACTCACTCACCTGACTGTATCCAGAAGTGTAATACTTCAGATTCACGCTGGTCTTCTATGAGGTTGTGGTACTTATCCACACTGACCTGCCCATTCGTGCAATAGAGAAGACTAACGTGGCCGTAGCACAGGTAAATGATTACCGCCCCCCTGTGGACACCTGCAAATGGTAATTACGTTGCCAATGTTAATTAAGTTCCTTCACCGCTGAGCACGTAACGTAACATATAGTCATATAGTATATTCCCCATCTTTTTTTTTTTCATTTTGATCTTTCCAATTATTATTAAGTGTTAATAATTGTTCCTTTACAGGTGCTCGAGGATTACGCTTCCATGAATCTCTTCCCAAAGGAACTTCTGCTATGACCTGTTTGCACATGTGAAACCTAAAATGCTTGATAAATGTTTTTTGCGCTCAAGAGAGGAGAAATTACCACTAAGATTAAGTCCTATACAAGCCGTAAGTGGCATAAGCAGAAATGAGCTTCAACTATGTCGAAATTACTCTTAAGCTTAGTTATATTTCAAACCTTTGGCATACTGTGATAAAAAAAACTACTGTTACTGTCGGTTTTGCTCAAGATATTTTTGGAAGAACTCTTAAAAAAGACAACTATTAATATTCCTTCCTAAGCATTTATAACCTAAATATTGTCCTATAAATTATTCTACTTATATACAAAACAAAAGCAACACTGAACCAACCTATAAAGAAATACATGTTTATTTCCAATAATGCATTTATAAAATTCCATCCATCTTAAAATAAAATATTTGAGATTTTATAATATACAACTTTAATAAAGAAATGTATCAAGGGAGTTTCCATTAGTAGTTCTAATTTTTTTTTATGTATTAAGTTGATCATCGATTTTATTCCTTAAGAGATAAGTACTTAATTTTTTATTATAAAGCTTCGTTTATTTTAAAGACATTGATGTAATAATAGCTTAAGAGAAACGCTTGGACTTTCCGCTTTTGTTAAAACTAGGAGATTGTTTACTGCAGATATGTATATGTATTAAATAAAGAACATAATGTCGTAGTACGACAAATTATCTAAATTTAATTAGGTCTGTATGTGAGAAATCAAAATTGTAAAATTTTACTTGAAAAATAAATCTGATTGTATTTATTCTGTTGTTTCTATTCTTAATGTTAAGATAAATACTTAATATTAAGTAACAATTCTAATCTCATCCTAACGTCTGTTTCGCGGCAAGTTTCACGTGAGAACATGAGATCACAGACTTACTCTTTTTTTTTTGCCCTTGGTTTTGCGCCAGTTTGATACCTACACGTGACAACTATTTGTGTGACTCACAGATAATTGTTGCGGACTTGTCCACGTGAGACAGTGTATTTAAAACGTACTTGTAAGTAAAGTAAACAAAGTTACTCTATGCTTGTAAGCACAATAATGTTACACTACAGTAAGGGAATCGTTTTTTTTTAAAACAAAAGAACGTTAAAATACAAAGATCCAAAATTGGAACAGCCGACCGAGAATCACTGAACTTTTGTCTTATGTTGTAAAGTATATCGATTGAAAATATTTATATACGAAAGGCGAACATTTTTTTTCTTTTCATTTACTGAATGTCTACTATGTTACTAATTATAATGGTGGATTTTTTTTGAAAACTTGTAAGCCTTAACTTCTATTCTGATAGCAAACAAGCTACCAATTTACGAAATTTATGTAGAATAGAATAATAATATCATACATATAAAATTATTAAAGAGCCGTGACAGCTCAGTGTCCGGGCGCTCGCCTTTCATTTAATATACTCGAGCAACCTGAGTTCGATCCCCGATGCCCGCACCAATGAAATTGTTAATTTTAAGTGCCGAATTATTGTGCTCTCAGCGCTGAAGAAAATTATGAGGAAACCTGCATATTTTCGAAATAATAATAAAAAAATATATTTCGAAGATATGTGAAGTCCGCCAATCCGCAGTGGGGCCGCGTACGACTATGCCCTGATACCCTCTGTATAGAGGAGGCCTTTGCCCAGCAGTGGGACATGTATAGGCTGGTACTACCTTTTTACTTTTTAAAATATATATACGGTATGTAATATTCTATTTTTAACTATGAAACTGACGAAAACATAGTATAACCTTTTTCGATACTCAAACATTTTTTTATATTTGTTTCTCATTTTGTCCCATTCTTGGGCATTAGGACTGAAACCTAGATCTGGTACAATTATCTGCAGATCGAATACTTACATATAATATACAATGGCTGATTACCACTAAATATTTTTTCCTTGATGGAATTTTGGAAAATAAATACACATCGATAAAATTAGTTTTATGATAGCAATATCCAGTATTCAACGTTGTGTATCGTCAGTTTGGTTCTCAGACAAGACGATAATAAGTTTATTTTGTACTAGTAGTGAAGATAATTTTAAAATGCAAGGCTGTACACTATAATATATTTAAATAACATTACAAAACCAAAATATTACTATGATTTTTGATGAAAATAAAATGATATTTTCATTTTATTATATTAAAATTACTAGCGACTACGTCTGCGTAGAATAGGCTGAAGGCGTAACATTGAGACAGAAAGACAGACATTTATAAAATATGTATATAAATTATAGCCTATGTCTTATTCTAATGTATAAGCTACAATATTGTAGTTTCATAAAAATCCATACATACAAACTTTCGCGTTTATAATATTAGTAAGGAATAATTTTGAAAATGTGTTTTGCCGCCAATACGGGTTTTGCAGTCCAGTCGTAGGCTGTTAGTACTAGCATGTAGTAGATATCAGGAAAGCATTAAATCAACTGTGTATCATTTCATTCAGTGACGTGTACGAACGTGTGTCTCATCTGCTCGACTCTCTCTTTCCCTCCCGCAGTTGTCATCGACAAAGTCCTTCAATATTCTGCGCTCCTAGTAGAACTGTATAAAATGGCGGATCGGTCACGGCCTTTGGGAATCGATGACGTCATTGATATACACTGCTACACGAAAAGTAATCACTCCATAGATAAGACATATACTGTAAAATCGCACTTTAATTCAGATTCAAAATGAAAATATCAGGACATTTTTAAGACATATTTAATGCTTTTTATGCATTAACTAAAGAATGTATTTCATACTTTTAATTTGTAAATAAAATATTATTTTCCGGAATTTGTAGTTAAAATTAGCGACATTTCGACCTATGTACACTTGTACAGTATCCGTACTAGACTGACTTTTATGTTAAAATAATTGTTATTTATTTCAGTATAAAGCAGGTAAAGGAATAAATTATGTAAAGCAGTACCATATCCATTGTTTCTTTAGTCGTAAACAGCTGAAAGAGGGTCATGAGAAGAAAATCAATATCTCCACGCATGCGTTTTAAGACAATATAGGTTTATCTTAACTTTTATGGTCTCCTGGTACAATCGCCCACATTTACGTAAGTCTTGCCACCTCCACAATGGTTTCCGAAAAGTATGGATGGGGGCATTAGATGATTTTTTGGTTAAAAAAAAAATAGTTTAATACAGGCACAAAACAGTGCCGGATTAAGAAAGCGGTGCCCGTGATAAAAAAAATCAATACTCTTACATACTTAACAAGTTTTACTCAAAAAATTACGCTTATACAGAGATGAGTGGACTTAAATACGCGGAACCGGTCCGTAGAAATTTCTACTCTAGCTTCTTATTATGGTTAATCCGGCACTGCTTAGTGTGAAATTAGGTTATTTACCTAAAGTTGATCTTTGGTACCCATTGATGAATCACGGATAGATTTGAAAGCGCTTCAGTAGCAACGTTGCCATAGTTATTTACAATCCTGTAAGACTTTGACGGCTTCTATTTCCGATGAAGCCTTACATAATCTAAAAAAATCGTCACAGCAATGTCAAACAACCTCAGTATCAACGGCCTAAATAATAAGATATCAATGTCGACATGTTTAAGTGAAAAACTGAGTCTTTACCTAACCGCGCCAAAAGGAGACCCTCCTTTACTTTATACTTTAATTTTGAATGTTAAAACTACAAAATAATAACTTAAAGATACGGTAAATGTAGAATAATAAATAATATAATTATGTATTGTATATGTTAAAAATCACAAATCTTTCCATAGTTTTAATTATTATGCTCTACCAAATGTGTAGAGAATAATAAATAATTAAAACATTGTAAAGATTTAACAGATGTGTAACGAGACGATCGTGAGACACATTTCATTGTCGAAGCAAACAGGTAACAGCAAACAGGCATTCGTTGGAGTTAGGAAATAAAAAAAATAACAAATGAGGATATCGAATTGCCTTTATTGCACTTACTGATTACAGCAGGTGGGGTTCGTTAACAACTAAATAAATCGTTACAACATAAATGCACGTCTTTTTCTTTGTCTTACTTTTACCTAAATGGCTGTATTGCCCCTGCCCGGGCATCAAAGCACCACCAATGAAAGATGAATTAAACACATTATACGTTTTCCTATTGCCCTGATATGCAATTGGATAAGTTTTCAAAATTTACGAGTTGCATGGGAATATTAGTTTTAGCAAATTCGTAATATAATACCGGTCTTTACCTATGAATTCTTATTCTTCAGTACTGGCCATTTAAAAAAAAATGTTTTTTGGCTGTGAATTCTAAATTCAAATTAATTTTGTTTAAAAAAAAGAGATGAATTTATTTTTACAAAGTCAGTCTTTTGTTTTTTGATTAGCTTTGTACAAAGAATATAATACTCTCTATCTATAGAGTATTTTCATTTGTATTTTCTTTGTATTTTCATTACATTTGAAAATTTTTCGACAAAAATTCATGTATATGACTATGATCGGAATATGAGTTCCTTTGTAGCACCAACGCGGTACAAACGGCACGTAACATCGACATCGTTTACGGAGAGCACTTTACAAACACACTGCCGGTTCCGCTCTGAAAATGTGTACTTGAAAAATGAATCTCTTGGTAGTCCGGACACTGGTAAACCATGGTGAATTAAAGGCGATTGTGGAAGCTGATCATACTCAATCTACAGCCGAGCTAGCAACAGCTTTTGATGTTAGCATCAAAACAATACTGGTCCATTTACATCGCGCTGCTCAACGGGCACAGATATGAGGGAATTTTGAACCGAATCGTTACGTGCGACGAAAAATGGATTCTGTTCGACAATCTAAAGCGCTCAGCAAGATAATTAGATCCTTGTTCAGCACCATAGCAATGCCCCAGACGAAAAATGGCCGCTGTTTGGTGGTCTAGTGCCCGTGTGATTTATCACAGCTTTTTACAAAACGGCATGAGCATTAGGCACTGCAGGTGTGTACCGTGAAGAACTGAATGATGGAGAAGAGAAGCTTTGGTCAATCGGTCATTCTCGCTGCTCCTTCACGACAACGCGCGACCCCATACTGCACAACAGACAGTCTCCAAGCCGCAAGAGTTTGGGTTGGAAGCTCTCCCTCATCCGCCATGGTCACTAGACCTTGCCGACTATAACTTTTCCAAAATTTGGACAAAAACTTTTTAGAGAGAAAAATAATCCAATTCCGTTGTAGTCTCCCGTCCAGCTGATTTTGAACACTGCGTTGGCAAAGATGCATCGATTGCATAGTTAAAAAAATACTTCAACTTATTTCATACAAAACGGCAATTTCATAGGTAAATACCTAATAATAAAGAATTAGGTCTTTACCCATAACATGCAGTTATGGTCGGCAATAATAATATGGTTTATAATAGCTTGGATTTTTCGCAGTTACGGGTTTATGGTAAAGTATAAAGTTGTTTTTTAATATTTGGCTTCCATCACTGCCACACAAAAGTTCCTTAAGGCAGCGCTTATTTTGATACGGTGATCAATTGAAGATACCGCTTACGTCAATCATTAAAGCATACATTTTAGCACATTTAATACCACACTGTCAATACAAATGACAATTCATTGACTAACTTTGTCGTCCGATTAGAAATATAATACACACCTTGTCCTGGAAGCGAAATATTTAATCGTTCCAATGATTTTGCTGCGTATGATTCCATAAAATGAAATCCATACACAAGAAATGTTATATACAATTGTACTGCCGATTAATTATTACTCATAAAGTATGTACTTTTAAAATATTAGCCATAAAATTTTCCATTAATTATGAGAAAATAAAATAATATATATATATATATATCAGCTTATCAGTATACATAGCTATACTAATGTATCAGCTTACCTTTGAGAAAATTATTTCTTTCAAGATAATATTATTTATAAAATAATTGTTTTATTATATCAATTATTAACTTATTAACTTATTTGCTTTATTATTCGACAGCTTGCAGCAGTTTGTAACGTTGGTGGTTCAAGATATTTTCAGGTATGTATATATACTAATTTTCATTACTGGATTCATAAACAAAAAGCAATACAACGATCAGACCAAAATATAATTTATTAATACGTTATAACATACAGAAATTTTCAACACTCCATACCAATTGGTAACAATTTAGAAACATTGCACATTCCGATTCGATACAAATAAATATTTATGCAGCACTTAAATCGACAAGTTTATTAGCTATAGAAACGTGGCGGCTTAGTGTCCATTGGCTCACATCTAATTTAATATACATGAGCAACCGGGGTTTAAATCCCGGTGCTGGTACGAATGAAATTGTTAATTCCAACTTATAGCACGTCATCGGCTATTCTGGAAAAAACTAAGAGGTGTCCTCAAAAGAGGTGAAATTAAATAATGCAGACATTTAAAATCTGCGAAATGCATGCATACTGAGGTGATCAAGCAATGATATCTATGGGGGAGGCCTATGTTCAGCAGTGGACTCAAACAGGCTGAAATGATGATTATGATGATGATGAATGACATATATATAGACTGTTGTATTAGTAGATAAAACGCTATACAACAACGGTTCATCATCTAGATACAAAATCACTGGTATTCCCACTTTCCCCATAAATGGAGTGGTCTAACACAGCTAACTATAACGGTTATTGTCAGAGTTATTTACTACCTTCATCATTAAAATCATCCATAAATTCGCTAAAAAATTTAGACTATTAAAAAATATCTGATTGAGACACAGCGTATCTACGCTGTGTCTCAATCAGATATTTTACAGATATTTTTATAAATACCTAATATTCGTTTTATTCATATACTGTATATTATTTTCCGTCCGCCCATATCGATACTGAGAATATTTTAGCAAAAGTCACCAGATCAAAAAAGAAAACTGTACTTGTTTCTATGACATTTTTAATAATGAACTTACGATTTATCCGTTATTAAATTGCGGGATTAATTTTAGTGCTATTGTTGGATTTTAATTATTCAACATTTTTAATTTATTCCAATTTTCAGCTAACTGGTATACCACCATCCAATAATTTTTATGGAGTAGTTCTGTTCTCGTACAGCGACAATACTTAACAGAGATTTTATTGTTAGCAGACCAATTACAAACTGAAAAAACTTTAGGAGCATTATTTCGAATTACTTACAAACCAATTCATATATTACATGTTTTTATTTTCACTACCCCATACTGGTAGTCTATATAAATATTATATCCATAGAAATAAATACAAAAACAGATAAATAGTTTTCAGTATGTACTTTGTGAGTTTACATTTTATCTTTTAAGTCTCTTTAAATTTATTATTCATTTAATTGAATCTACGTCTATCAGCATTTTACAGTTACTCTAAGAACTTTATTGATTCACCGTATACGTAAATGAAACTAATTTTACGGATTTACCGCGTTCTAACCGTAAATACTGGATAAGTATCCGGAATCGCAATTTAAATTTTAGTTTAACGATTACGTACGTAAAAATAGTTTCATGTAATAATGGTGTTATGTAAACATACAAAAAACGCGTTTAAATATTTATATAGGTTATAGTAATAGTTATTCGCTGGAAATCTTGCCCATTTAATCGAGCCCAGTGCGCTTACATTATAACGCAGTGGACAACACTTTACAGATAAATCAAATTAATGATGACTAAAAGCAAACTCGTCGAACGAAGGATATAGGTGCTAGATAGGTATCACTTGGCGATGACGTCATCGACTGGGTATGACATCATCCGACGAGCGTGGCGGCCAGGGCTTCGTCTGGTTCCTCTAGAAGCAGTTCCTGTGGTCATCCGAGGGTCACCTCGGGCGGGCTCACGTAGCAGTAGTCGGTCAGCGGGACGATGACCACTTGGATCTGAAGCGGAAGACGCAATCGACAATAATTGTTGTTTTTTATGTGAAAAGTTGCCAAGCGAGCAGACGGTTCACCTGATGATAAGTGAACACCGCCGCCCATGGACATCTGCTACACCCGAGGGTTCCAGATGCGTTGACAACCTTTTGAAAATTGGGCTCCGGCCACCTTACTCGCCAGACGAAACGCGAAAGTATTATACTTCCACTTTACGCCGGTCTTCTGTGAGGTCGTGGTACTTAACCGGACGTGCCTGCCCGTTCATGTAACGGCCGAGGCTGCTGCGTGGCCCTACCTTTGAAAATAGTAAAGTAAATATAGCAATCTCACCCTGAGCTGATCCCGATTGGTACCAAGTAGGTGCGGTGGCTCAGGATAGACGCAGCTATCCACGCACTTTGGACAGCGGCCGCTGAAACACAAAACCATATATATACGACGACCCGAATGGCGTAGTGGGTGGTGTACGTGCCTACTGCGCCAAATAGTGTGGGTTCACTCCCCACGACTGGAAAAATATTGTGGTTTTTATAATGTGAATGCATAAATCTTTGAAGAATGCGTGAATTATCAACAATAATTACTTTGTTTAGTTTAAGATTACACTTTTAATCCGCAATGTTCAATATTCATGTAATGTGTGACCGTGTACTGATCGGCTTACCCAGGCCCCTTGTAGTTGGACGAGGGAGGCTGTGATGGCGTGTACAGGGGTGTGTTCAGCTCGTCGAAGTCCAGAGCGTTGTCGATGTTCAGCACCCTGCGGGTTCCAAAATGTTGGTTCAAACATGCCATTGTTATTATTTAATTATACCACGGGTGTCGCTGATAACGGTTAAAAATTATACACGACATGTTAAAAGCAAGTCGGCCAACTGCGAATCGTATTCGCGCACCATATACATTATCTGCGAAAATTTCGACTGTCTATCACAGTATATGAGACACAGCCTGCTGACAGACGGAAAGCTTAGCAACTAAGCCATTGTGTCATCGCTGAGCGCTTTATGGTTGTTACCTGTTCTGAGCTGAGAATCGATGGACCCTCTCAACGACGGAGGATACGTGCTCTACACCTTTCTGGATTCCCCATACCAGGATGCCAATCTGGAAAACCATACAAACGTGGTTGTAATTATTCAATCGTAAGTACATACAGGGTGGCTTTTCTAAAGGTGCCCAAATTCACACAGGAGGTTCAAACTCGGTAGTATAATCGTTTATTGAAATAAAAACAAACTTTTTTTTTCTCCAAAAAATTGCAATCTATTCCCTAAAAAACAGAACTTGTTGACAATGTGGTAGTCATTTAAAAATGCGTCGTATACTTTTGAAACGAACTTTTGTGGGTGTTAGTTGTGAATTATCGCGCGTAAAATAAATGAGTTTCCCATAAATGACACACGTTTTTAGATAAGTTCAAATGAATGTAATTACTTAATTACGAGTGATTTTAAATATTTATCAATTTTTTTATTTAACATTATTTATGTCTAGAATTAAATAAAATAAATTAATAATAAAAAAAATGGATACACATAGAAAATCCTCCCTGTATAAATACTGTGAAGGCGTACGGTCATTAAATAAATAAAAAAATATTAAATATTAAATTTTTAAACAAATCGAAACTCTCAAATTTTATATTGTATGAGATACAATTTGAAAACATTTGGGTGTTACAGTAAAAAAGTTTACTTGTGTGTATGTGTGTATAATTATCTGGACACACTAGTGTTATCTCTGCACACATATTCTGACAGACAGATCCACCTCGATGGGTGAACAGCTCGCACCTTGACCCTGACGTCGGGCTCCGGGCGGTAGGGCTCCCCCGCTGCGACGCTCTGGCACGTGATGGAGATGCGGACGGTGCGGAGTACCACCTCGGGCACCTGAAAATCAAATATAGATTAAAGTTATGGACGCACTCGTTTCATTCAACGCCTGCAAGACAGTATTCTTCCTTACGAATTTGTAATAATAAATATTAAGATAGCCTTTATATCGCAAAACTCCTTATATGTTTTGGTAAATGTCCCTGAGTAAACTGTGCCTCCTGGCAAAGGGGAGCCCTTTCAAACAATTTCTACTATTTTCTATCCTATACAACTTATCTCCAGTTACAACCTGTACAAACATTGGTTAATTTGAGTTAGTCCTTCCATCTTTTGCCTTGTCGACCTCGATTTCGAAGTCCATAATTAGCGATAATAAAGTTTAAAAGTTTATACATTGTTTTCTTGATTTTGCGCGAATATTATACATATTAAATGAAACTATATTATATTAGCTTACGGATATATACAGGGTGGCTTTTCTAAAGGCGCCCAAATTCACACAGGAGGTTCAGACTCGGTAATATAATCGTTTGTAGAAAGGAAAACAAACTTTTTTTTTTTAAATTGTCATTCTCTTCCCTAAAAAACAGAACTTGTTGACAATGCGGTAGTCATTCATAAATACCTAAATTTTACTGTGCACGCACACAAACAAAACTAAGCGCTCGCGATAAATCGGAGACGACCCGTCCCGGCACGGCGTCGTATTCTTTTGAAACGAACTTGTGTGCGTGTTAGTTATGAATGATCGGTTGTAAAATAAATGAGTTGCTTATAAATCACTCACATTTTGAGATAAGGTCAAATGAATGTAATTAATTAATTACGAGTGACTTTAAATATTTATTGTTTTTATATAACATTATACATGTCTAGAATTTAATAAAAAAAATGGATACCCTTAGAAAAGCCTCCCTGTATATCCGTAAACTAGTTTCATTTAATATGTATAAAAGTTTATGTCCCACTTTTGGGCAAATGGCAAAAAAGGTACTAGACAGTATTACAGTCCAACACGCGACCACGCCAGGGATCAGCAGACTTGTTCTCTAATATTTTCGAAATATTTTTTTGAATGATGCAATTAATAGTGAGAACCCGGACACTGAGCTATCATATCTTTAGAAGGCCTTGACTTAAAGTTATATGAACTTGGCCTTGACATAAGGTTATACACATGTTTCATTGTTTAGAAATGCTTCTTGTGAGAGATGGAACAAGCATGTTTTAGGGCCACGCAACAGTTTTCGCTGTTGCACTAATGTGCAGTTTCGACCGGGCGAAGTCCCGTGAAGACGGTGTGGAGAGGAAGTGTTACACTTCTGCGTTTCGTTTGGTGACTGAGTTAGCCGGGGCAGCTTAAAAAAGCAACGCATCTGCAATCCCACGAGTACTGCAAACGTCAATTGTCAGCGTTTATCATCATAGTTGATGTTAAGTGATAGTAATTTAAGTAGCATTTGCTAATTTCTTACTACAATTAATTTAAAGATTTCTGATTTTGAAATAGATTTTATTTTTCTGTTTTCTTTTATATAATAAGATTTTTGTTAATTAAGTTTTAATGGTAGTTTTAAATTCTTTTATATTCTAACATAGGTACGTGTAATATTTGTAAAAGTTGTACATGCCTGTCATCGGTGTACATACAAGAACATAATGTAATATCACTAAATTTTTTTATATGTATACTGTTGGTATAAATAAATTAATATAAATAAACATCAGATGAAGTGACGGCTCGTACGCCACCTTCTCGAATAGAAAAAAAAAAAAAAGAACACATCACTCACGTCGTAGGTGCCCGACCAGGCGATGAGCATGCTCTTCCTGAACCAGACCCCCTTCGGGTAGAGGTCCACCGTCCACTCGGTGGGCCGCTCCGGCTGGCCGCCGTCGGCCGCCGACGGGCGCGTGGAGAAGATGAACGTGCGCACGTGGTAGCACGGCAGCGAGTGGAAGCTGTCCACGGCGAGCACCGAGCCCCACGTGTCCTCCGTGTACAGCCGCGGCGTGAACAGCGCCCGGCCCCACTCCGCCTGCTGCACCTCGCCGACGCGCTCCGACTGCCCTAATGCGGAACGACCCTTGGGCGGTTCATCGTGCTGTTTGCTTTTTTTTTTTTAATGTCAATCTACCGACCCGCCCCGCCTTCGCGCGGGTGCAATGTATTACGCACTAGCTGCTGCCCGCGACTACGTCTGCGTAGAATAGGCTGAAGGCGTAACATTCAGACAGAAAGGACAAAACATGTACATAAAATATGGATATAAATTATAGCCTATGTCTTATTCTGATGTATAAGCTATATTATTGTAGTTTCATTAAAATCCATTCAGTAGTTTTTGCGTGAAAGAGTAACAAACATCCATCCATACATACAAACTTTCGCGTTTATAATATTAGTAAGGATATAAACCTTCATCTTAAATCACTTTATCTAATAAAAAAAACCGCATCCAAATCCGTTGCGTAGTTTTATAGAACTAAGCAAACATAGGGACAGACAGACAGCGGGCCGACTTTGTTTTATACTATGTAGTGAAGTTGCCAAGCGAGCGGGCTGTTCCTCTGATGTTAAGTGAATACCGCCGCCCATTGACATCTGCTACACCCGAGGGTTGCAGATGCGTTGGCAACTTATTCGTAAATTGGGTTCCGGTACCTCACTCACCAGACGAAACGCGAAAGTGTTATACTTCCACTTGACGCCGGTCTTCTGTGAGGCCGTGGTACTTACCCGGGCGAGCCTGCCCGTTCGTGCAACAGCCGAGACTTTAGCGTTGCCCCGCCACAGGAAAAGAGTGTTATGTGAGGAGGCGGCAAGCGAGCCGGCGGTTCACCTGATGTTAAACGATAGCCGCCGCCCATTGACATTTGCAGCACCCGTAGGGACGTAGACGCGTTGTCAGCTTGTAATAAAGCGGCACAAGCAGACGAAACGCAGAAGTATAATATTTGCACTACACGCTGGTCTTCTGCAGTCGTGGCACCTACTCAAACGGACCTGGCCATTTATGTAACAGCAAAGGCAGCAGCGTTGCCCTGAAGATGTTAACAGACAATGTAGATCCTCGGCCCCAGGCAAGTGCAATATAAAGCTTACCAGACTGGTAGCTCATCGCTATGGCCATCCTCTCCATGAAGAAGTCCTTGTGCTCCTGAGTGAGCGGGCTGAGCAGCAGTTTGGCCAGCTGATTGGGGCACATCATGGGGAACCTGCCAAAATTTCATTCTTTGAAACTTCAACAGAATATGAAATAATATTAACTGTAATGACTATCAATATGCACACTTCTTATTTTCAATTTTGAACTGAAACAATAATTTCTTTGAACTAATTGAATTTTGAGAGACTAAATTAATGGCTCAGTGGCGCGGTTGCTGAACAATTGGCTTCGGCGCCGAAACTGGTCTTGGTTTCGATTCCCACATGAGTCACGAATCAGTCATTCACATAAATGCTTATTGTGGCGGACTGATAGTTCGGGATCTGGCTATTTGCTCCCAAGGAGGGTTCATGTCAAGTAGGCAGACAGTCGTAAAACAAAAACTAGCCAATAATTTACCACCGTTAAAACCGTTAGTTTGCTGTCAGCTTATTCATCCTTGCCTTGTATCAAAATAAAATTCAGATAGAAAGACAGACGTCATTTATGCATCATTGACACTTTTACTGAGCTGTTTGCATATAGGACCGGGAAGTCAACCTCCAAGGAAGTAACTCCTTCGTATCTAGGTCTGACTATCCTCGTCTAACCGAATTCCATTGACGTTTTAAGTAAAAAAAAAATCACCTGACGTGGGAGAATACGGCCGCAACAAGGGAGTCCCAATGTGCCTTCAACTCGGCCATGTCACTGGAAGCCGGTGAATTTGAGCCATCGGCATTGCCAATGTCTGCTGAGGAATTGCACAAACCTAGGCGCTCTTTTTGCCGATTGAGCCAACGTTCCACGAACCTGGAAGATACAATTACAAATAACACCTGAGGATATGAACATTTTACTGAAAAAATAAGCGAGTTTAATGCAATAAAATGTTTTATTTTAGTTAAGCTAAACTAAAAAATATGTATGTTCACAAAGTGAAAATCAAACACCAACTATATTTACAACAACTTTATACTTTATGTACACAATATAGGAACTGCGAGGGCAATAGAGATAGCCCCATAATTACCACCTTTGATACCTATCACTGTTATTCATATGTAATAGTGACAAATGACAAACTCAGACAAATTTCATAGGCTTATTTTGTTCACCTAGTAATTATTTAGATAGCCACTCCACTCACTTGTAGACGCTCATCTCATTGTGAATAACCAGGTCACTCTGCTGCAGCAGCTGCACTAGGATTTCACCGTCCAGCTCGTCCAATTCACTGTCCAGCCACACCCATTCCAAGTTCCACTTTACAAAGTTCTGACAAGCCTGGAAAACAAAGGGATGCTTTTTAAATTTTAAATAATTTTATTTTTGGAGTAGTCTTAGCAAATAAAAAGAAAATGTGTAATTGTCGAAAAATTTATTTGTCGCTCTACACTGCACGGAAATCTGATTTCTGCTTTGGTTTTTACATTTTAAGCAATGTGTTAATCTATTCTGGATCTGGGTGTCATTCCTGAGGAAGGGCAGAAGGTTGGTCGTAAAGAAGCCGAGCCAATACCATTAACAACAATATTAAAACATTGGGCCAGCCCCATGTGGAATGAGCGCAGCAGGAGATAGAAAAAAAAGAAGTTTCTGAAGAAAGGAAAACTTTGCAAAGATTCAAACTTTGAACATTGGATCTTCATTTATTTTTATTCTTTTAGTGCTGGTTTAGTGACTGTGCTTAAAAATTTATGTCGCAAAATTTTTCGCCGCTGCCAAGATTCGAATCTGCACTTTTCGGATTACACATCCAGAAAAACTACACATTTTTGAATCTTTGAACACTTCAAATGGATACTTCTTATATAATACAAGTGGATGTCATATATATTGAATAAGAAACAATAGTGAATACTCAATATTGTACTTACTTTGGAAACTTCTTCATGTCCACAGGCCATAGTATACTGCATCCAAGCTATAAGTTGGCCACGCTTAGCAGCCTGGGCAATATGTTGTGACATATAATCAAGGCATAAAGTGACTAGATCCTGTAATATAAATATTGGTATGAATACTTTTAAACTACAATAAAAATACAATTGAAATTATTACATATATCAATATTTTATTTGTTTAAAAACAAATTATTTTCCTTACCTTGACATTATATTTATCCGCCAGGGAAAGTACTGGCAGAACAGTTTTATGAGATATTTTTATTTGACCAGTATAGAAGTACCTAGAAGAACATAGACCAATTAAAATTTTATAACATACTCTATGAAAATACCATATACAATGATACAGTTAAATTATTGTACATGAGGGTAATCAGTAAAAAGATGAATACATATAAGTTCAAATGAACTTATATGTATTAAAATACTTGTAATGTAAAACTTTATGAAAGCTGTTTTTTATAAAATTTGATGTTATTACTTAAGAAAATGTGGAAAAACAGTAGCAGCCGTGGATGTCTCCTGCAGCACAATGCGACTCTCCCTCCACTCGCTCCATTCTCGGTTCATTAGCATAACCTGATTATGAAAAAATTAGACAAGTGTCATTTCCAAACAACACATTTACCTGTAAAGTTATTAAAACTAGTTTTCATAGAATAACTTGTAATTATATTATTATTTTGGTATTCTGTTAGCATGATGGGATAAAGGGAAAGTGAACTACCTGAAACACTTCGCTACTCGCGCAAAGTATTAGCCGATGTGCTGGATAGCCTACACCACCAACTTCCAGTGTTAAATCACTCATCAATTGTTCAGCATAGAGTGTTGCTATTTTAAGCAGTACACTTTTGGAATTATCCACCTAAAATTTTAAATCAAAACATAACCAATTGATTTCTAACATTCTTTCAGATGTTATATGATGAAAAATTTAATTTGTGAGGACAATAGATAAGAGTCATACTTAAGGAAAATGTCACACTTTTAATTTACACTCAAAATTTCCTTATTCAAAATTCCCAAATTTTATATTTATTTTTAATGAGACATTTATACAAACATAATTACATATGAAATAAGCAGAAGTCAACAAGAGCAATAGTCATATGCACAAATTCGTGTTCTCAATGTATTATTCAACATTATAATAAGCCCTTGTCATTAGGGTAGTTTTTACAAATTATTTGAAATTGTTTATACTTAGTTGTTCTATTATATAAGTTAATGCATTAAATGAGAAACAACTTTCTAGTTTTAACCATGCTAAACCTCAGTTCCAGTGTAACTATGGCCCCAACATGATGTGGTATGTTTTTTTGTAAATAGGTGGATATTATTATGTACACACATTATGTTCTTGAGTATGTACACCGATGGAGCATTATAGCATTAATTTGCTAATAAAAATGCCATAATAACTCACATGGACCAGCCAGCTATTACAATATACTTTTGCATTTCATGTGTTGCATGTGGTAACCAGGGCCCAATCTTTAAAAATTTGGCACAACTCCAACCTAACAGGCATGTGTGTATGTCAAAAGGCAGCATTTATCACTTGTAACATGCCATCTTAGTAATATTCAATAATTTATCTACTTTAATTTATCTACCTCAAGATCTTCATTGCTGTCAGATTTATCTCCTGATTTTTTTGAACACGACGATCCATCCGCACTTAAGGAACTCATTATAAATCACTGGCAAACACACAACATCGAAAGTGGCAGATATTATCAGTAACTATCTAACAAAAAAAATTTAAATAACGCTATAGAACTTCTACAAGTATTCAAACTTAATTAAATAAATATTTTACTTGTGAGCCTGACATAATAACAACATTTCTTATTTTATTCCGATTAGAATAGTGAAGTGAGTACGCATTAAGGATGCCGAAAAAATATCGATATATCGATATATTTTTTTAGATAAATCGATATTTTTGGTATCTGTCAATGCTATTTTGATCCGATAGATCGATATAAAAAATTGAATATCTAAATCGTATCAAAAACGACATTTTTATTCAAATTTAATTTAGCTGAATATTAACCACTTAACTAAGTTTTTTTAAATTGTCGTTCAGCATTTTCATTTCATACAAACAACTATTACTACCGTCTGCTGATCTAGGCCTAACTTATAGGACAAGTCTCTGCGCGTTTGACCCATTATTAACTTCTTTTTAAACAGTTAAGTTACATGTTTTTTAATCCGATTCAGGGCTAAAGAAACTGATCTAAGATTGATCAATCATATATCTAGAAATATAGATTAAGAAAAGACATTTGATCAAAATTAATAAATAATTAGTGTTTAATTTACATTTCTCATTCTATAAATAACCTGAATTTGGTATAAAAATTACTATTACTTATTATTGACTCACACTGAACTAAAAATATCGATATAGCGATATTTTTTTTCGATATATCGAGGCTGATATTGATATTTTTATAAATATCAATATATCTCTTGAGTTTCGCCAGCACTAGTACATACAGATTGGGCAAAACAATATCGATATATTTCAATAGAGTTATCCAGGGATGGCGAAAAATTTAAAAAATTTCGATATATCGATATTTATAAAAATATCAATATCGGCCTCGATATATCGAAAAAAATATCAATTAATCGATATATCGGTTATATTTTCAGAATTAAAAAATAATGTTTTTAGTTCAGTCTGATTTAATAATAAATAATAGTAATTTTTAGACCAAATTCACATTATTTAAATGAATGAGAAATTTTAATAAAACCTTCATGATTTATTAATTTTAAAACAAACAGCTTATTTAGCAAGATAAATCAGTTTTTATAGCCTTGAATCGAATCAACAAATAACTAATTAAAAACATGTAACTTTGTAAAAAAAAAGTAAAGAATTGTTTAAAACGAAGTTAATAATGGGTCAAAAAGAAACCCGTAGCGACTTGTCCTAAAAGACAGGCCTAGATCAACAGAATTTAGTAATAGTTGTTTCATTGTCATAAAAATGCTGAACGATAATTTAAAGAAGTTACTTATGTGATCAAATGATAATAATTTTGACTGCGTCAAATAATTTTTAATGAAAACTGGAAATAATATTATGTGACATTTAATTATTAAGAATTTGATTATAATTAAATTTTTGTTCACTTTATTTACATATTAAAGTAACTTTAGTTGATGCCATTAATATTCTGCTATTTATAAATTAACATAATATTTAGTTCAATATTAATGATTTATAATAACTCTATACCATGTTGTACCTAAGATATGGACAGTGCCTATAGAGTACGACGCATCAAATTGTAGTATACTGTATAAATACCATAATTATAGTACAAAATACAACTCTGCATCCGTGACAATACTAGTAATTAGACCACAGCTTTTTTCCGTCCATTTTTATCTTTTACGACTTTTAATCAGTTTGAATAAAAATATCGTTTTTGATACGATTTCGATATTCAATTTTTTATATCGATATATCGGATCAAAACATATCGGTCAAAAATATCGATATATTTTAAAAAATATCGATATTTTTTCACATCCCTAGAAGTATCGATATATATCGTAGATATTTTTTATCGCGGTGTATCGATATTTATTTCAGACTAGTTGAATTCATGTCAATTTCGACATATATTTTTACGCAACTTTGGTTTCGTGTTTAACGTTACTAGATACTCTTTGCATGCTCCTCGCGCATCGTTAACTTTAAACAACCTTAAAAATCTTTTCAACTATTTTCTTCATGTCTATTCTATTTTACGTATTTTGAATGGTTTGATGTTAGGTATGCATTATCATGCGAAAAATGACAATATTTCATTTCATCCATATTTTCGCTCGAAAAATATCGATATTTTTTTTCATGTCTGTTGATTGGGATCCACTCAAATTCCTCACTCAATTACTCAATCTAAACATTAAGATCATTTTAATCAATTCAGAGAGTTTAACTATCCTTTTGACAACTTAAATAGTAAGTAACATTTGAAAATCCATTTGACAGCTGAATCTACGATGATCAGTATTTCAGAAACCGTGGTTGATGTTCAGCTAAGCAGTAAATAACAGCTCCAAATTCAACCAGTATGGCGCTAGAATAGTATATATATATATATATATATATATCGTAGTGGTGATGCTACGATAGCATAAGGGTATTTAACTTCTTCGATAGAGCCGAACATCAACCCAACCCTCTGGTGGTAAGCGCAGCAAATTACCAACCCGACACAAACGCGAACGTCAACAAGCGTCGCCCGCGAAACGTCTTCATTGACCCCGTCGAGGAAGGGGACTTAGATACGTTGGTCCCACGGTTGGGGTTCCCGCCGGATAACACTACATCCACAGCCATTGTAACAACAAACACAATAATTCGCACTCGCCTCCGGGCACGGCGAGACCAACACAACGCGTACACAAGGTACTCCCGCGTTCCAGGGCGGTTCTCACCGCCCCACGCTACCGATTACCTAAAAACACAGTCAATGGCCATCGGGGTCCCGGTCTGCACCGCAACCTCGATGACCCTTAGATGACATAGTCAAACGCACGTGCACATGCGCGGCCCTACCCACAGCGGAGGGCCCAAACCCGTGGGTTCTGGCTAGCCCGCCGTTTCTGCGTCAGATGAAACTTTAATAATCTCAGGACTGAAAGCAAAAACATCAGTTAATACAAGGGTATTTAACGCTTTTCTTCGGAGACTATTTATTTATACTCAGTGTTCAGAGATTGTTCTAGGAATGCCGAAAGTGAAGAAATATATCTATATATCGATATTTATAAAATCAATATTGGACTCGATATAACCAGGAGAAAATATCGATATTTTCTTTTTAGGCCCTATTGACCAAAACAATAAAACGTATGCCAAGTATAAAATATTTGAATGAACGGACTCTGTCCCGGATTCGAATTTTATCAAATATCGTTTTTGTATCCGATTTCGATATTGAATATTTTATATTAATATATCGGATCAAAATATATCGACTAAAATATCGATATATAGGTAATACCCTAGATTGTTCTCCGTAATTTAATTCCTTACCCCTATCCCAAAGAGTAAAGTTATAATTAGTTAATAAGGAGATATTATATTATATTATATTATATTATATTATATTATATTATATTATATTATATTATATTGTGGCGACTCATTTGCTACTGTGTAGCACCGCTCTTATCTTTTACACCCTTACTCTCATCGGTCTAGCATTACCCTATTATTGACAAATTTCTATAGCAACGAGTGACAATAAAAGATGATGGTTTTCTCAACACGGCTTGTTCTTTGTACTGCATCTTAATTATTCCCTCCTGCCGGCTCCCAAACCGGTGACCCCGACGTGATGTGATAAATATGCGCAACATCGGAGCCCACGTCGCTACGCTCTGCAGTTTCGCTCGGAAACAACAATTTCCGCGATAATCGAGGTTTGTTCCATTCTGCGACGCCGCCTAGGTACGCTTCCTTCTTTTTGTTTTTCCCTCTGTGCAGAGAAGTCTGCTAGGGAGACTAGAAAAGCCACCTGCGAGTGAGTCTATGGTATAGCCTGCGAGGGAGATTGTACAGAACAGCCATGAAGCTATAATCGCAACAACTGTAAACGCATCTACGATAATCTACATCGCTATTGGACTCGTATTTTGTCCATTCTATGTAGCGCTGAGCCGGCATTTTTCGCATCGAGGCCGGCCATTTTTCTTTCTCTACCGGAGCTACGTCATCTTTGACGAGGAAGAAGTTGAAAAGCGCGCCACGCGCGGCAATCACCCGCAACATTGTGTCAGGTGACTAACAGCTCTCCACTGATACTTCGCGACGGATGCTGCGTTTACACTCGTTCAAGTGAAATTTTAGTGCTATTTTACACTTAAGATAGTATCATTTTATGTTGTATTTAGACTTACTTTACTTTTCTACCAATTTTATTATTACGTTTGCTGCGCAATACTGAAATTGTTTCGTTTGTGTATTTACCGATTTGTTCCACTGCGTGTATGTGTAAAGCGTTTTTGCGATTTGAACGTTTCTGATTTTACCTTTAAACCATGGCGAGTCAAGGAGAATCTAACGTTTCAGAGGGCCACGTTGACAACGAGGGTGATGCTACTGCACTAGTCGGTGGCAGTCCCATTTACGTAAACAGGGTCGCAATTAGGACCCCGCCTTTTAGCAAGGATCGGCCCGCATTATGGTTTGCTAGCCTAGAGGCGCAGTTCCACATTAACCAAATTACCGTCGAAATGACGAAGTTTCATTTCGCCGTGGCGCATTTAGATACCGAGTGTACGAAGGAGGTCGAAGATATTATCACACATCCTCCCGAGTTGCAACCATACACAACTTTAAAAAGCGCAATCATATCTAGATTCTCCGATTCCTTCGAGGAGAAGGTGCGGCGCTTACTAGAAAAGGAACAGTTAGGTGACCGCAAGCCATCTTCGTTCATGCGACACTTGAAGAGTCTGGCTGGGCAATCGTTCCCCGCTGACTTGCTGCGATCAATTTGGGCCAATCGGCTTCCCCGGCAGGTTCAAATTGTGTTGGCCGCACAGAAGATCCAGGACTTGACGGAGTTGGCGGAGATAGCCGACCAGTTGGTGGAGTTGACCGAGAGGCCTACCACCGTGAGCCAGGTTTCGGCGCATCATACCTTTGAGCCCA